TTTAAAGAAAAAAGCTGATTAAAATTAGAAAATTAGAAAAATTAGAAAAGTTATAAATTTTTTAGAAACATAATATCATTAATATTTACATTAATCGAGACGAAGAAAAAAGTGCATCGCCACAAAAATGCGGTCTATCGAGCTTGATACATATCTGACACTCGCTGCAGTCATGTCGCGTGCTCCTCCATATGACCTGACCTCTCTCATATATAAACAGAAGAGGGCAAATGATAAATTGCTACGGATGACATACGTATCCCATTCTGTTGCTTCTTCTACAAGAAGCGGAAAAAGTTGATGCTATCAATTTTTGGTTGTGTTTTTCACAATTTTGCTAATCTTAAAATTATTTAATCGAATCTAAAATTGTGAAAGAAAATTAACATTTAAAAATCTTTTAAAATATTTAATTCTTTTCATTTATAATATCTATAAGTAAACATATTTGCAACTTAATATATGTGTAATTTATATAATAAATATTAATGTCATATAAATCTTCTATTATTTATATTTAAATTTGCAAACACAAATTTACATTTATATTTACATTTATTTATATTTATGAAAAATAATTTTGCTAATATTATAATTATCTTAATTGAAATCTTTGTTTAATAGACTGTTGCACATTTTTATATTATGAATGTCCACGAAAAAATATTCCATGATATTCCGAATGTAATAATTATTTTAAACGAGATGCAGAAATATTATTTATAATGAAATCACATCAATTTTAATTTACATGTTTATTACGCAACGTTTATCTACTTATTTATGATAATTACTGAGTAATCCGATCCGATCATCAGAGTTTGATGAGAAATTTCTTCTCTTCGTCTTTGCGGTGAAAGAATCTGAGCCTCAAACACGTGACGATTCATCTCGGTAAAGATCAACGTGCCGTAAATAGAGATGTAACGAGGTATGTCGAATCGAGAATTAAGATCATGAGTTAAAGTCTGTTCATTCCGCTATCTCTTCGGGACCGATAAAAATAATCACGGCCGAATATATCACGCTTGAACACGCGACGATGCGCCTGCGAGAAGGAAAATGCAACACGCTTGCCGCGAGTCATCAAATCGATGAATAGAAGTGCAACGAGGTATATCGAAGATTTATTGCCTGCAAACGCGATAATGAAGGTATTGACGAGATGAAGGCATGTTGATAAATAGAAATTATTTATGTATTTTTCGATAAAAAATTAGAAAAATTTTGCTACTTAAAATGAAGTTATGATAAAACGATTTTGACTATACAAAATTTTAATTCAATTTCTTCACTTTTTTACATATACTGTGTGTACAAATCTATTAATATTTTATTGCACGAAAATAATTTTAATTTTAATTTATTGATTATAAAAATATATATTATATAGTAATATGATATAATAAGGTAGATATATCCATCATATTGTTTCTTAAAATTGCTCTTTCGCCACATAAATGAGAATGGCAATAAAAAATTTAATGATCATAAATTCTATTTTATATATATATATATATATATATATATATATATATAGATATATCATGTAATATATATTATACATAATTGTGTATATTACATATTGTAATAGATAGATATTCATATATAAAATAGATAGTGATATCTATATTATAACAAAATTGTATCTAACAAATTAGTACCAAAATTAGACACGAACAAAAATAGATAAATCACTAATTTATCGCATTGTATTATTCAACAACTTGATGATATATTGATGTATCAGCAGCAACTTCGGAAAATTACAGAGAAATGATATGACTTGTAGTAAGAAACGATAAGATTTTTTGTGTAATTCATTAGACCAAACAATCTGTCCTTGCTACATCATTGACAGAGAAGGCAATTATTGAAGGAGAAGTCATAATTGTATGATGATCTCAACTTACTATATATATAAATATACATATACTTATATGACGATTTTATGAACTGTACCTGTAATAGCATTTAAGTTTTATAATAAGTTTTTCTCTATCTTATCGTAATTGCTAATGTTTAAGTCTTCCCTTGTTTAATTTTCGTTTTTTAATTTTCTATTCCTGATAAATACATATATATTTTTTATCTTAGAACATTTTTTTTAAATATACTTAATCTAATGTCGCTTTAATCGCAATTTAATTACGACCTAGTTTTCTCGACCTGAAATAACATGATTTTTTTTTTACTTACATTGCTCAATGCTTATTATAATAATTATATCAATTTTCCGTTATAAATGTTATCAAACCGTAATAACAAAAATAACCGCACGTGCCGAATTAAATCTAGCTTAATCTTTTCAGTCATATGACAAATATTGATATCCTAAGCTGACTTTGTCACTTTTATCTCAATTGATTTTTAGTATCCAATTATTGAGAATAGCACTGCTTCAAGAGAAATAAGCATCCGAATGTTCAGCAATAGCGTACTTGGTTTCGCTTTTGCCAGCGATATTCGCAGAGCTGATAATGTATATATCTGTTATCCATTCATTAGCAATCAGTATACATTACATTTTTAGGAAATTAATTTTTTTCTATAAAAGAAAAGACTAAATGATCAATATTTATTTCAATACTACCTAATAAAACATTTATTTGAAACAAATAAATATCTATTTACATTGCTCAATGCAAAGGATTTTCTTATATCAAATAAATATTTTTTACATCCAATCAATATTATTAGTTTCAACCCATACAGCACAACAAGATTGCAGCAGCATTGTGGCAACATTTATATTGTTCTATAACATTGCAGCAATAATACAATAAAATATATATGTAATATTACTATTGGATTATTAGAAATGTGTCAAATACATGATCGGACTAAATGTTCTGTACCTAATATTTTTTACGTGAATTTTGTTTTCATATATTTCTGAAATGTTGCTGCAACGTTACTTAAACTATATTGCAAATTCATGTCTATATAATATTTCTGCAATATTGCTATGCAATGTACAATATTGCAATGTTGTTGCAATATTGCTGCAAACTTGTGTGCTGTATGGGAAATAGATGATTTATTTGGCATAGTATTAATTGAAATAAATACTTATTCAAATTCAATAATTTTTTGCAGTGTATTCAGTCAGTGTTTATTTCCGGTCCAGGGGAGAGAACCCCTACTTTTGTGGCGTCTCTCGTATTGTAATCGATATGCATATCTCTTGGCGCGAAGATACGCACGCGAGCGCGATTTAGGAGGTGACTTTGCGCGTTGAAACTCGAAACGTTCGCGCTATTCACGGTCCGACTATTCTCAAACGGTGTGGAGATGCTCCGCCATTCGGTTCCGGTCTGGTACATACAAACTGTGGTATATATTCGTGTCATCTCGAGCCCGGTCTTCTTTACCCGGAACCGGTCCTCAAAAAAGGAAGAGCGACAGCGCGCGGAGGATCACCGGTTTGCCATCCTCGAAACTCGTAATTCTACTCCGCGAGTAACATAATTACACGTGTATAATACCACAGCGAGTACACGCAAACGTCGTGTCGTATGTAAAAAAGTATATCAACGATAAAAATGTGCGTAGAATGCACGCTATAATGAGCTCTAGCGTAACTTCACTCTTCTTTACCTTTAAATGGCTTTTAATATGCAGATTTATAAATTGCAACAAGTCCCGGAGATTGCGACATCCTTATGTACAGCAAAGTAGCTGTTGTGTAAGCTTTTTTTGCACTATATTGCTATATTTAAAATACGAAAGAATCAATGTTAACTTAACAAGTTATATAAGATATATGTATAGGTTCAAAATTTTTATTATAACAAAAATTTCTGATATAGAATTGCATGTTTGAAAAGAATTGCTAATTATTAAAATAATTGTGGAAACTATTATCTATTATTACAATTAATTATTAAAATTATTGTTATTACATCTTATCACGCCCCATTTTATCTCAAAACTGATGTTAATAAGGTATAATAAAAATCTTATTTATATTTTGTTAGATTACTTGATAAAAGCTTTTAATCATTTATTTCGCTAAATTTAAAGTCAGACTGTTACATCGTATCTCGTGTCGAAAGAAAAAATGCATACATATATGTACACGAGATTATTATATTATTTTGCAAGATATTTTAATACATGCTTGAGTAGATGATATCGCATTCGATGCGGTAGATATTGACTGATAATTCTGCAAAATATATTAACGCACGAATTATGCGTATCATTATCATCAAATTCTTAACATGTATAAAAATATTTGACGAGACTGTGTCTTTATTATCGATGTGGAAAATATGATTAGCAAATCAATGAACGTATATCAGTCATATCGATAACTAATTGGTATTCGATCAATATAACTATCAGATATTTTTAATAGCTTTAACAATAAGACTATGCAGATCCACGTGATCTAGGAGTGATTCGAATGGTTGACGAAATCTCTGGCAGGCGAGAAGCGACAGTTCTGATGTGATGTTATATCGTAGCAGGGCACATTCGCCCACGACGATGGAGAAATTAATATTAAGCATCTTGGCGCCAATAAATTTGTCAGACGCCAGAATTACATTAGGAACAGCACAGTCCAGTCTCTCGTTCGATTTCTCGCGAATAATTTTTAACAACCACTTCTGTATAGTTTTAGCCGTGAAGGAATAATTAGAAAGTGTGTGCGAAAGAAAATATCGTCGACGAAAATTGTACGCTATTAACTCATAAGATGTTTTGAAAAATAAAATATATAGGAAAAATTATATATAATTATATAAAGAGAAATTATATAAAATAATTAGAAAATAAAGTTATAAAATCTAATTTTTACAGAGTATTTTTATAATTTATATATGTATATAATAAATAACTCTGTTATATAATAATTCGAAAATCTAATTTTTAAGTATATGAAAGAAATCATCCCCAATTTTTTTAAATTCCACGATTTTTACGTGACGCGTCAAAACTGAAACATTCATATGCAATCAGCATTTTAAACAGCATTTTTTTTGTAATTTCAGATCTAAATGTGTTCCATAGCAATGCCGGCCGAACTGATCCTGGGGCACAGCCCTCCGGTTTACAGTTCTCTATTGTACAGTCCTCTGGTGGTTTCGGCACCCACAATCAGTACTAGAACTGTGCCTCCCAGGATCAGACCATGTCTCTCTTCGGGAGCTTTGCCCCTGGACACGCTGCGAAACGATGGCAGTGGCAAGCAGAAGAAACGGGTGGTGTTCGCCGACGACCGCGGTCGTCCTCTCACACAGGTAATTATATTATATTATATTAATTATATAGAATTATTTAATTATACGGCGAAATTGACCTTTCTGAGCGATAAATTGGATTTTATTATTTGCATCTGTGTTTCGTATACCTCTGCTGACTTGTTCCTTTAATAAGTAAAAAAAATAAAGAAAAACATGTGTAAATATTTTTAAACCTGTATCGTGAATCGATGTTATATTAATAAAATTTCATAAGAGAATTTGGCCAACACAGAGGACTATGTTCGCAAGCAAAGTGTAGATATGCATCTAACATAAGTCTGTGTTTACCTTTGAGAAGTTCGCAAACGATACAGATAGGCAAAATCAATATTACAGCGATAAGTTTAACAGCTTATTTTTATCTTGCTTTTCGATGATACTTTTCGTTCGAAGTAGCATTTTTATTGAAATATCACACTAATATTTTACCTTAAGATCCACACGAATCACGCATTGTTGTGCGTATTCGCCAGTTTTTTGATTATCTAAATTATGCATATTATTAATCAATGTAAATTGGATTCATATACATGTATGTCAGAAGCAAAAAAGAAGAAGTGCCAAAAATCACTTTCCACTCGTATTTGCATGAGAACAAATATTTTCAATTCCAATCCAAGTAATTTCGAATTATCACGAGTCATATTAGTCAACGACTTGTTCTCTATTATTTTTTCCTCACTTTCAATATTTCGTCCGCAGGTTCGCGTAATGTCGGAACCAAGCCACGTGCCACCACTATGGAGCACGGCTTACGTGGCCGGGTTGACCGGAGGTCTGCTCGGTTCGCCCAAGGATCCAAATCAGGACGCGGCGCAGAATTCTACGCCACTGTGGCAGGTGACCTTCCCGCAACCGGCAAGCGACTATCTCGCCTTTCGCCATAAGCTCGATCAGGAGAGTGTCAGCTTGGAGAATGTGATTGTGCGCGAGTCCGAGCAATGCCTGGTAGGCACCGTGAAGGTCCGGAATCTGGCCTACGACAAGGAAGTCGTGGTGAGAGCGAGCAACGACTCCTGGTCCACTCACGAGGATGTGTACTGCACGTACGTGGAGCAACGAGGCTCGCCGGTCACCCTCACGCTCTACGACACCTTTCGTTTCCGGCTCACTCTGCCCGTGGCCTCGAATGTCATCGAGTTCTGCGTCCGATACCGCACCGATGGCAAGGAGTCCTGGGATAACAACGAGGGCAAGAATTACGTGATTCGTAAGAAGCAAGAGGTAAGTTTTTACCTTCTAAACATGTCTTTTCGAAATTACAATTGATTTATTCACTTTGGTTTAATGTGCCTCTTCATTATTGGGAATACTTTTCAATTTAATATATATATATATATATATATATATATATATATATAATGATTTCTCATAAATACACAGAGAGAAAATTTCCTAATATTTGTCGAATATATGTATATTGACTGTGATATCACTTCTATTTGGAATTTCAATAATGATGCACGACGATATTCTTTGATGACTGACATATTTCATAAAAATTATTACGCGATTTTAGTTATGAACATATACATATATACCAAAGAATCTTCGGTAACTTTATCAAATATTTACCAAGTAGCGGCAATCTGGTCACGGTTTATTGCTTCCCAAAGCTATTTATATTCTTAAGGTTTATAAATGTCCTCAAGAATATTTTTATTTGAACGATGACAGAACTTGTTAAAAAATTAGAAAAGATTTACAAATACATTTTACGAAAAATATTTGTTTCAATTTCGCGATTCGAGTTATTTAAATATTTTTTTCACGTAATATATAAGCCGACGCGTAAAATAAATTGTAAAAAATTCGAAGAAAAATAATTTTCGATGCAAGCACATGCCAAAGGATTGAGACACGTCATACGCTTCAGCCCCAAGTATCGGCCAAATGGTGCGACAACATCCAGACGATGACGTGCGACGGGAGCTCCAACAACGGGACCGGCAGCATGGTCCCGCGCAACACGGAAATCACCAGGCTCAGCATGCGCACCTGGAGCGAATTCTCGTCCTGGCAGCACCTAGTCAACGACGCGCCCTACTGGTGAATCTACCTGCGAGGAGGTTTTGTAGCCCCCTCGTGTCTCGATACCAATTCAAGCTGTACGAACTACTCCAGTTTCTTCACCATTTCGAGCCAAGACGAGAGATCGAGTAAGTTGAGCCGTAGTCATCTCGCGGGACGCGAATCATCTTGGAGGATGAGGGTACGACGAGATCACGACGAGAGAGAGGAGAAGCTGCGCGACGATCCGAATTGAGAACGAGGGAAACAAGAGCGCGCGTGCGGGAGAAAAACAATCGGGGGATGATAGCGAACAGCAGCAGAGCGGACGCGACGTCGAGCTCCTTCGGATAACGCAATCTGCACGGTAAGCCCTGATTCTACCCTTATCTCTGCTTCGCATGAAAATACTTTGTCAAGTTTATTCAAACTTATTTTTATGGCGGAACGGGAAAAGAGGAATATGCGGCTTACGCAATAAATTGCTACGTAAATTCATTTGCGTATTCTCATTCCGACTAATTCAAATGCTTTTTACGTCCGATAATAATTTTTTATTTTTATCGAGAAAAATGTTTGACAATTTTTTCGCTTTATTTTTCTAAAATTTGATGGATTTACACAACAATTTTAAACAGATAGATACTATAGATGGATTGAAAAATTTGTTTCATTTTTTATTTTTATTTATGTTTTATAATTGTAATGAAATACCAATTTTGTCTTTAACTTTGATTAGCGGTTTTCGTAAATATATTTAATTACTCGTTTTAAGCCAAAGTCTTACTCAAATATGAGCTTATTCATTACGCTTCTTCTATATATATGTACTTGAAAAGATGTGTATTCTTATGGGCTTATCCTTGTACACGAAATAAAAAGAATAAGCGAGATTCAGAGACTCGTTTGATTCTGCTGGTTGATAAATACCAAGATTATAGAATCTTTAATCATATATCAACGGATTACACTCGAATTTTCAATGCAGCAGACATTGCGACAATATCAACATTTATATACTGCTTTTTAAAGGATTATAATGCCTATTTGAATTTTGCGAAGTCACTGTCTGCAAAAACATTACAAGAGTTAACTCCAATAACAAGCATCGAAAATAATTTCAACGAAAGATCGTAATAAATAATACAATAAAAAAATGAAAAATCCATCATAATAAAAATTATAATAAAAAAATGAAAAATCCATCATAATAAAAATTATAATAAAAAATGAAGTTTTTATTGAATTTAATAAAGCATATGTTTAATTTCTTTATTTTTTGTAAAGAGACTTTTCTAATGATACTTTGAAACTTCAAAAGCTTAGAATTTTTGCAGAGCTATTTAATTTTGACGAAAATAATTTCAAAGAAAGATCGTAATAAATAATACCATAAAAAAATGAAAAATCTATCATAATAAAAATTATAATAAAAAATGAAGTTTTTATTGAACTCAATAAAGCATATGTTTCATTTCTTTATTTTTTTTAAAGAGACTTTTCTAATGATACTTTGAAGCTTCAAAAGCTTATACGATTTTTGCAGAGCTATTTAATTTTGAAATATAAATTGAAGAAAAAAGATATAATTGAGATAATGTGGAGCTTAAAGCTTTCAATTTCTGGATTTAGCATGTCCTCGCTTTTCTAAGAGATACATGTCATCTATTTACGCTTTCTCTTTGCGCGCAGACGGAATAGTACCACGCTCGCGAAAGTTATTATTAACCGACAAAAGTGCAACGAGCTTCCTCGAGAGTGTCTGCGATAGCTCAAACGTCCTCTATTTTGCCTATTTATCCGTTTCGGCGACTCGCAATCGCAATTGCGAGACGCGGAACGTAGAAATTATACATTTGCAAATTTTACGAACGTCCTTTTTAGCCGCAGATACGAATGTATGTTCACTGGCGGCTTGAAACTTTCTCTCTATAAATAACAGCCGACCGGCGACGTCGTGATAAGAGACGCGACCGACGAGGAGTCGCGCGACTCTAATTAAATCGTCTTAACTAAAGGTTGTTATCACACAATATAATGTACCGATCTTAAATGGCGCGATGTATCTCCTTTCTTCTCTCACTCTGTGTTCCGTTTTCTTGTTTTTTTCTCTCCGCGTTTCGTCATGTTACCAATTCATCTCGTGACATGATGATATAAGGGATGTAACAAATAATAAAAGGATTGCAAATGTAAAAATATTTCTTGGAACGAGATTTTTTCTCTTCGCGAGTTGAAATCTGATTGAAAATCAGGCGCCGATCGAGTATCAATTCGGGCGAATTAATGATTGAGGGTCTGCGAATAGAAATTTAGGAAATAAACATTTTTCTCTTTTAATTTCGAATATATTTTGCATAGTTGAAAAATTTGTGTTAAATTGAACAGATATCACATGTCCCAAACGGAACATGTCCACAGACATTTTTGTGTTAATTTAACATAATATGGATATGTTAAATGAAGACGAATACTGTGTTAATATTTTAATACCAAATAAATGCAAAAATTCAAATAATTTTAAGTAAAATTTGTGTAAAATTAAATTATATAATTTTAATGTAAAAATTAACTAAATATGTTAATTTTAGATTTTATCATTCCCACCTATATTATAAAATAAAAAATCAACATTTTTTTCTATAAATTTTAACAGATAAATCTTGTCACTAATAAAATAGAACATATTTATTCTGTAAAATTAAAAATAGATGCACATTGTGTTAGTTTTACATCTTTTTTCAATTGTTTTAATTTAACATTTAAATTCAATTAACACAACATTAATATGTTAAATTAATACATGTGAATGTGTTAAATATTTAACACAAAATTTTAACAAGGGCCGTTTTTAATAAGAAAACACATTTTCTTACCGTGTGATTTTGCAGAATTTGAATTTCTCCACTCTTTTCTTAGTCATATATATAATATATTGAAAACTGAAATGCTACGAGAGGAAAGGTCTTTATTTAAATGAATTTAAATAGGTGTATATATTATTCGCGAGACAGAATCAAGTTGTGTATGGATCCAATGAGTAAGCGGAATTGTTAATCTCCCTTCCGATAAATGTTATATAAATAACACTGAAATCACGAGTGAATGAAGAGGGAGTCCGTCTCCCCCGAGTATCATCAGGGCGATAACTTTTACTCGTTTTTATGGATATATATAATATATATATGTACATTTCTCACGCATACACATTCATTCATCCAGTCGAGCGGTTTCTTTTTTTTCCCAACTCTTCCCTTTGTACCGATAGTGTCGAGTTCGTTGCATTTTCCGTTTAAATGTCACAATTCGTTACTACCATATTTTATATTTTATCTAAAGCCGAGGTACGTGACTACTTATAAATCAACATATGAAGTTTAGCGACAATGTCTACAGACAAGGTCTTGGGGAATATTTTCAGGGCCAAAAGAATGTAAAACGGTCCTTGACACACTGCCAAGCACACATCGTATGCACTATTATAAGTATAACAAAATGATTCTTTACAAGCGCGTGATGTCCTCGACTTTGATCTGTCTGGTCTGAGAAGTACAAGGAAACCATCAGATCCAAGACAGATTTGCGCTCAGTTTGACTTGTTCGATAGCTTCGTCCATTCGAAAGTTTGCGAAACTCGATCCTGATGCGTTAACGACTTAACCCACTTTGCGCAATGTCACTAAAATCGCTATATTTATCAGCACAACACTTTTCTGTGATGTCAGGTGGCTTTAATGTCTTTTAGATATTATTTCGTGATGGAAGGCTGCGACAAATCACGATGTGCATTTTAATTGCAATCAAGAAAACTTTGATGTGTAAATACAAATTCAAAATAGAAACAGACTAATAAGAGCCAATCCCAGAAATAAAACACAATAAACTTGTTATTAAATACTTCCTTAATTAGTTTGAACGTTCCAGCAGATAATTAACATCGATCTGCTGAAAAGATGGTCCAAAGAAAAGACCGAATTTAATAACAAGTTTGTTGCGCTTAATCTGATTAATTTGTTTCCATCCTGAATTTATATATCAGAGCTCTTTTGATTTATTATTGTAAAATATTATTCACGCAATTTATTAATTTGTGAACTTGTATATAATATTTTGCATGCAGCAGAGACATTTCCACTTTAATAAACTCAAACTGTGTCTTTTCGTATAAATGAATCAAGATGTTTCTGTGACGTGATCGTTTGTTAACATTTATTTTATTAACGACACATATTTACTTTTTTCTTTAATAAAATTTTAATTTTATTAAACACATTTTTGAGGACTCTTTATAGATAATAAATATATGAAAGTAAAAAATTTATAAGCATACCAATTTAATATCGGAAATATTTCTAATTATTTCTAATTATTATCTTTTTATTGAAATATGGCAAAATTATGTTTTCATAATGTTTTACTATGATTCGTCTCTCTCATTGTTTTATATATTAAGAAAAAAGTTTATAATCTATATTGAACATTTTATTGAGACAAAAATTGCTTTACATGTATGAAACACGAAATTAATTAGGACACGAAATTATACAAATTAAAAGTGTTCATTTTTATAAAATCATTTATCGCAATGATATCGTTCATCATGCACGTATATATATTTATATATAGAAATAAATGCAAAGGGTGCATCAAAATCTACATCTTTTCTTCAACAAACATAAACAAAAATTCTTTCTAAACGGAAAATTTTGGAGGACTAGGTAATAATACAAAATAAATAAAATGTTAAAATAAAATAAATCTAATTGGTAATATAAAGTAAATAAAAATATTAAAAATAATTAATATTTTTTTGATAACGTACATATACATTAATTTTATTTTCATCGATTTTTGTTAATCGATTATTATTGCAAATGATGTTTTCCTTAATGATATCAACGTAAAACAAAGTATCTATATTTAGAGAACATACATTAGTATTGAACAGAGTATCGTTATTTATTGATATTGGATATAGCAAATAAATAACCTTTAACTTTAAGATGCTCAATCCAATTATCACGTTATTGAAGAATTATGTATATGCAATATGATACGCAATTTGGGATAAAATAATTAAATCTTTACATTTTGCTTTCAAGTAATAACATAATCCGATAACTGTAAGACTGATATATAATTCTCGGTGATTTTCAGTATCGCTAAAGTTGCATACGCACGATAAGAGACTGCAGGAGTCACTTTAATCCTCAAAAGTGCATCAGAGGATTTGAACTCCCGAGTGTCTTTATCTATGCGTTTTTCGACATTCAAACAATTCAGCAGCGGCCGGTATCTTGTACGGTGAAAATGTACGCGCGACTTCTGCGATACCCTGTAGGAATTATGTTTGAGACGTGGTCAGTGAGAAGTGGTAGCACAGGATCATATATACATGGTCATACCGCCGTGGTACCACGCCTTGGTGAACACAGTCAAAGAGAGAGAGAGAGAGAGAGAGAGAGAGAGAGAGAGAGAGAGAGAGAGAGAGAGAGAAAGGGAGAGAAAACGAAAAAGACGAGAGAAAAAATGTTAAGACGTCTAGACGCGTGGGACGGACCGGAGTAATCTCGACTCTCGTTGCTTTCTTATACTTGCTCGCTTACGCGTTTACACGTGTTCCTATATTCGTATATGCATAAGACGTGCATTTCGAATCACTGAAAGGCTGGATTAAGTGTCTTAATTACCAATAGTTAACCATCGTTAGAAATCGTAGTCGATCTGTCACGAAACTTCAACGTGTTTCAATTCCATCGCTGAAAATTCAATCGAAAATATGGAACTTTTTTGATCAATTGAATCCGGACTAGTCTCTTTTCATTAACAAAATTAACAATTTTGTAATTATATTTCAACGTGCGTCTGAAATTACACTGTTCCACAAAATCAATTAATCGGAACGAGACTAGTCGTTTCTTATAGTTTGTTGGATGCTGAAAAATTCTCTAGCACGTCACATATTGTAGCTACAATATAACAAAGTTCATGAAAAAAGTCTTTAATTACAAATTCCTCAAAATTATGACGTGACAGAATAATTTAGAAACGGGATTCGGCATCCAAAAAAAACTATACTCGTTCCGTGTTTGAAGAAAGTCATATTTTTTATTGAACAGTGTTATATGTATATAGAAGAGAAACATTTCTATTATTAAATTAAAATTTAACTTATTAATTTTTTATCAAACCTCAAAATGTGTTGCAATTTAGTGTAACCATATGCTACGATTATTTATTGTATTTTCACATTCTTGTTTCAGATCCCAGCATCCCACATCATCATACAATCAGGATCACCCAGGTCATCCTGCGTCCGTCTCTAACACGCCAGTAGCCACGTTCATCATCGGCCACGAACATCATCGTCGTGCGTTATCTTCTCGAACGTCCTCTTCCTCTTCTTGTACTTCCTTATTCCTCAGAGATTTTCGACCCGCCTACGGCCTCAAGATAGTCAGTCGAGCTTCCACCAGATCGAGTCGTCCAAATCTTGCGGATCTCGTCACAACGGTCAATATTGTAATCCTGTAAGTTATCTCCATTTCTTCCCTTGTCAAGTTTTTCCTCTTTCTCACAATCTCTCTTTCTTTCTCTCTTCCGTCTCTTTGTTTATGGCGCCCTTAACACGATCCTTCCTGCAAAGCACAGATTCTCGACCAGCTGTTTTCATTATTTTACGAGTATATAACGGGACACGTTTCTAGTTTCGTGTAAGGTCTCAGTAAAAGTAAAACAGTTGCGAGATTACACTGACAAATGCGATGTGTCTTCAAGTGTGAATTATATATAGATTGTTTCGTGGCACCAACATATGTGTAGGCTCATCGTCCAGACACATAAACGCCTAAAAGATGATTTACGAATGTTTTTATCAGAGGCTAGGGTCTCTTCTGGGTTGTCATATACTAGAGTGATGCTATCGTAACATTTCTTTTAAATATTCAAGCGAATTATACTATTAACAACTTTCAAAAGCCTTGTGCTTGCATGTTTGCAATCGAACATCAACATTTTTAACACAACTATCAACGGCAACTTTCTACTATTATCTTAATTATTATCTAACTGGTGCTGTCTGCTGTTTCTATTGCAGTTCCTTCTTTCTTTCGCGTGTCCCTATTACTTCGCGAATAGAAAGAATAGAATAAACAAAATTGTAATTTTGCACGGTGAAGAAAGTTTCAGCAACCATTATTACACTATTAGAATCCGAATCAAGAAGATGATTGAAATACTATATACCTTGTAAGATATTAAACTACTAATCTTCTACCGCCCAATTATTTACTCTCTTCGGGACTTTTATCTCTCGCGGATTATTTTAAGAACGATTTATATTTTATATATCTATATAAATGAATATATTTGATATATATATATATATATATATATATACATATATATATATATATATATATATATATATATATACAGAATTAAATACATGAAGATACACGCGTATATGTATGTGCACACACACACACGTGCTACATATAATCGCATTATACGCTCGAATCGATACGTATTTAAGCAAACAAGGCTCAAGATTGATAAGAAAATCGCAATAAGTGCGAATGCACATCGGAGTGCAGCTCGATTATGTTATTAATGGATATTGAAATACATAATATCGATCATTGATTTGTGTGATCTACAGAAAATGTAATTCTCGATAAAAAAAAAACAGGGTATATACATATGTGAGCCGATTCTTCATGTGTCAAATATTTCTTTTTCCGATATATATCTGAAGAATCGGCGCAATTTTTCTCGAGTATTTACAATAAATTAGTGCGGTCAGTGCAATTTTAAAGTGCCGGAATATAGCAATAATAAAGCGGATATGAATATATATTTATGAATCTATGAATTCTTCTGAATTTTTCTATTGCCGATCAGTTCGAGTTCTTATCTCGTCTCTGTATAAGGAATCAAGAGTTAATTCTTTGGAGTCATTTTTCGACTTCCTTCCGTCACGCGGTTCAAAGTGCTGCTACCTCAAAGCTTCTACGCCTGAGTTTCTTCAGGCTTTTTCGTTTGATTGAATACATGTCTCTCTAACGTTCGCGGCTGGCTCGTACACAGATACATATATATATATGCGATAAAAAAATGTACGAAGTACACCTGTTATTTTGCTCAACTGCGTTATTAAATGAAAGCGTTTAAATATTATCAATTTAAATTTTGAAACGACAGAGCAAGAAACTGGAGTGACAAAGATACGTGATCGCGTTCGCGATAAATGAGGTGGTACTTTGAATTACGGAATTGCGCATCGGAAGGAACGTCGACACGATCGCGAGAAATGACAAAGCTGTAGCTAGTCATTTGCAGGCGCCGTTGTACGTCTTTTAGCGGGCTTTCATATAGCAATATTGAGACTGCTTTCTATGTTCGTACAAATTGTTCGAAGTGGATAACAAGATTTTAATTGGCGCTCTAAGCTTTTTTTTACTCGTATAGTTTTTAACATCGAATCTTTCAGTTTTTTATTCTATTTAGCTTTTATTACATTTATCATGTTCTAGAATTTTTCTTAGTTTATCAAAGTATCGTATGTTTTCAAAGCGAACATGGATAAAAGTGTGAATGATGAAGATATAAAATGTCCTCATATAATCTAAATTATTTCCTTAGATATTTATTTGCTTTCCGTCAGTTTGGTGAATGCGATACTATTTAATCAGGTCTGGAATAATATGTTATTATATTATATATTATACGTGTTATATTATATATTATACAATGTGATATTAATTCACACTACTTGAGTTTTAAAAAAGAATTATTTTAGAACAAGAGAACAAAATATATTTCCTTCATCTAGTTTGCATCTACATAGACTTAAATATTTTCTCTCGATATCATTAAGTTCTTTAGCAGTTTGGCACAATGCATACTGTTTTTTTACAATAAATGACGTGTGAATAGATATTATATTTTCTCTTGTTCTAATTTCTTCTCTCGTCTACTCTTTGCTTTTCGCTTTTCTTTCATTTTTTTTTCTTTTTTTTTTTTACAACAATCTAGAATTAAAAGCAGCTTATGAACAAGTGTGTTGTAAATGTATGAAACGATTGTTAGTCCGATTGCTATCGCGAAGAAACTAATTTGTGCACTCGTAATTTGTTGCTCCGGAACGAATCCGTTCATCGAATATCATATCGTTAATCGATGTAATGAGCTCGCGTGTATGCGTATATGTGTGTACATTTTCTTTCGAGAGCCGTAAGACTGAAACTACGTACATAATGTATATAATAAACGTATTCATAAGTAAAGATTTTAATCGTGTCTCGATGCAATTTTTAAATATCTTATTACATTCGACGATTACCGAGATTTCTACTAATAAACAAATCGCATCTCTGTATATTTTTTATCATGTAAGTTCTCGTTCCCTTGTTGCGTATTTCTAATTCCTAATGTGTAATATATCGCCCACGTATACTCGACTTATGTATAGTATCTATTAATGTTATGGCATCTTTTCCGCATCATTTTTATCCAACAAACGTGATATATATAAAAATTAATTAATGAAAGGCTCGTATAAATTAAACAAAATTAAACAATCATATATAGTAGGCCAACTAAACGAGCAAATAAATAAGATGTAAAAATTTTTTTATTAATAGTTAAATCATTAAATTAACATTCCGTTACAGAATCGATATAAATTGTAAACGTTTCGACTGCACTACAGTCTTTATCAATACATAAAAATTAAATATTAAAATATAAAGTTAGATGTTAAAAATACAAAGTTAGTTAAATATTAAAATATAAAATTGAAACGATTTTTCGCTGTTGACCAATAGATATGCAAGGCGATTGGTCTGAGATGCCAAGTTATGCGACATTTGAGCATGATTATCGTTTTAACAAGTCCTTTTCCCCGATATTTCAAGTGTGTGTTGCGAAGTCTGAATACCGTATTCAGACTTCGCAACACACACTTGAAATATCGGGGAAAAGGACTTGTTAAAACGATAATCATGCTCAAATGTCGCATAACTTGGCATCTCAGACCAATCGCCTTGCATATCTATTGGTCAACAGCGAAGAATCGTTTCAATTTTATATTTTAATATTTAACTAACTTTGTATTTTTAACATCTAACTTTATATTTTAATATTTAATTTTTATGTATTGATAAAGACTGTAGTGCAGTCGAAACGTTTACAATTTATATCGATTCTGTAACGGAATGTTAATTTAATGATTTAACTATTAATAAAAAAATTTTTACATCTTATTTATTTGCTCGTTTAGTTGGCCTACTATATATGATTGTTTAATTTTGTGATATATATAATCTTTACTTTTACAGCGTATATTAATAATTATTGCGCACGATATTATCATTAATTATTATATATTTGAGATATGTTCCCTGTATAAATGTAAGTTTTAAAAATGTTTATTATACTGTGGTTCGTACATATATACATACACATACGTTTGGGTACCATATTGTACATATCAATGAGAATTATTATTATCCTTTTTGCAATAAAAATTACAATGCAAATAATATATACGTGATATGATTTTCTTTTCCTTTCGATCGTTCGATTAATTTTATTTCTCTCGTCATCTATGTAATTTTGTATCCTTCGACAATTACTCTTTGAAGCTGTTGGAATTAAAATTAGAGATTGACATTTTTTGATGATGCACCTCGATCTGATTTTTATGGCCAAACAGTACTCTCGATCCAGTCGAGGTAAAAACTAACTCTGGTGTACATCGCGGGAGAAGATTTAAAAGCGCAAAATTTTCCGAAACTTGTCACACCCACGACACTATACATGCAATAAGGTTGTGCGAGAACCCTTTGCAATGGACCACCGCTGTCGCCCTATATATAATGGAAATTAAGTCATTATTCAAATTTTTCTCTATATATATATTATATATATTTTATATATATTGTAAATATGTAGAGTCTAAATTAAAATAAAGAATTCCGCAGATAGAAAATTTTTTGTTGTGAAAAAATTAATTTGAGGAACGCAAGTAATTTTTGCGAAATGACTTGCTTGGAGACAAAAGGCTTGAAAATAATTCCAAGTGTACAATTGCACACACCTGACAAGTGTCTTTACCGCCTTCCATTATGCCGGCACAAAGTAAACCCTGTATCAAACCGTCAGGCAATCGACGTGTGCCAATATCCTCAGCGTAACTCTTTTTACAATCGTCTTCAGATATGTAATTCAGCTGCACCTTCATTAATTCGTTGCTACCGATATTAGCTTCTGCACAGTATCTTATATAATATCGTCCGATATATATTCATATAGAAAGATGTAATAAATAAAATAATGAATATATAATTATAATAAAAATTATATAAAATAATTATATAATAAAAAAAATTATATAAAATAATGAATACTATGAAATATTGAAACATGCAAGAGGGAAATAATATTGAAAAAATACTGACCGTAAGAAGTTTTCCCAAATCCAGAAGCGATAGCACTTTTGCCTGGTATCTGCGAGCTTACTTCGAGACACGCGGGTCGCACTCGAGGACTTAACTCTAGCGGTCGATCAAGTTTAAGTAACGCTATATCGTGATACTTAACCGAAGGTGTGTAATCCGGATGCTTAATTCTATCCACGATGTTCCTCTCTTGCATAACGTCGTCTGGAGTTGATAAATTAATCAAGCCGACGCGTACTTTGGTCGCAGGACCCCTGAAATAAGCAGATAATATTAATAAAATAAGGATAATATTAATAAATAAGTAAATCAAATAATCGACCAAACTAGCAAAAATCAATTTATTTATCTTCACGACGTTTATAAAATATTAATAAAATAAGGATATTATATTAATAAAATAAGGCTTTAAATCCAAAAGTGATGGTAATAAAACGAATATAAAAATAATTGTAAGAGACAAAATGATTACTTGTCAGGAGATTCCAAACAGTGAGCCGCTGACAGAATAAAATGCTCAGAAATGATGCTTCCTCCACATTGCCAGGACACCTCGCTCTTGCCATACCCGATCACCGCCTGTAATAACATCAATATTTTGTCAATTAAATATTGAAATAATACGAAATGAAAGTCTAGATGTGTCACGTAGTGACGAATTTCTCAAGCACTTTCGCATTACCTAGATTGTCTAGGTTGTCATATGTAGAAAAAACGAATATTGCATTCTTAACTATGTTACGACAAAAAAATTATTGGATAAAATATTTTGTATTATTATTAAAAATGACAAAGTTAAGGATTTTATTTTTAATTTTTTTATTCACAAAAAATTATGAGATATGTTCTCACACGATATTCAAATATATTTTAATTTTGATATTTTATTGTAATTTATGAGATAATTGTTTAATTTATATGTATAAAATATAAATATATAATTATATATAAATATTTTAAATAATTATAAATAAATATTTTATATAATACTGTTTTGCATAATTGTATAATATGTTTACGGTATCATCGTTGATTCAATAATCAAAGATGATTTTCTTATCTATTTCTTGTCGCATTTCCAATTAATCGTGTAACTTTCTTATCGTTTTAACACTTTTCTCTATTATCTATTCTCACCATATGCGGAAATTCCGCGGGTTTTGCCTGCACTCCGCCAATGATAAGAGGCGTTTCAATAATCGCGCAGCGAGATACTTTATTCGAACCAGCGTTGATACGCAAAGTCGGTGAGTTCTCAGTTTCGTAAACCAGATCGGCATATTCCTTGCATTCTGTGAAAATGCAAGGAAGAATTATCTAAAGAAGAATCGTAAGAATTATGTAAATAAGTAGTTTCATGGAAAACAGACGCAAATTACAACGACAGAATTCAATTCATAGTACAATTACAATGTAAAAAACTATGATTAGATAGAATACGCAGAAATTCATCATTTCTACGCGCAACTTAAAATGCGTATGCATCGATTTATTATCGTGCGTCATGATTACTTGATTGCGCATCTGCCACACATTTATTTATATCGATCTAAACAAGTTACACGTACTCCTTGAGTCACACACAATCAAATCTCACATAGAAAAGACAATTTTTAGACAAACTTTTGCAATTTATAACATCGTGATTTAATAAACATTACATGTGTTAGGAAATTTTATTTAAAAGCTAATATATACTTGTAAAATGCAAATTATACAATAACTTACATGTAAATAAAATTAGAATCAAGTAAATCTTTGGACTTATTTTTATAACTAGTTAAGTAGAAAATTAAACAAACATATGTTATAATTAAACCTATTAATTAATATAATAGATGCTTGTTTAATCTTCCACTTACAATTAATTGCAAGATATTTAACACTAAAAATTAAAATGTTACACGATCTTCCGTTCACAATTTCTGCCTGAGAAATCGATCCTAAATTTGAAAGAATTTGTTATTGAAATAAAAATGTGGGGCGAATCTAGGACATACTCAAAAATATAATTATACTCAAAATAAAATTTGAAACCAACGATCACTTTCAACTAACTTTCTTCACTTTTTCGCGCTGAAGAATTTCTGAATAAAATAACAACGAATAACGCAATTGCGAATTTCCCGTACATATTGCGAGTCCGATACGCGACGTATCGACACCTTCTTAGAACAAAAGCGTTTATAGCAAGTTCTCGCTTTTAAGTTTGTCGAATAATGCGTAACGAAGTGCACACAATGATAATGACGTTCGTTAACGATTCGTAAGCTAAAGTGTCATTAACATGATATTGTCGGAACTATGGCCAATGACGTATCCGCTGGATCTTTCCCAAGGAATACCTCTTAATACATTTGCATCTATTTCCAATAAGCGTATGTCTCATTTTAATAACGGATGGCTATTTCATGGAAAAATTGTGTATTATTATATCTAAGTATCCACTGTATATTCATTCACGCTATTGAATTAATTCAAAAAGATGCGCTTATTAATAATTACTTAAACAAAGACTATCTATATATGTCTGCAAATTTTCCATGCTATTGCACATCCTTTTAGAATGCGTAAACGTAAAATGTAAATTCTGTAATACTCGGTAGTTTAATTTATTCGCAGAAATGTTTCTTTATATGATGCAGACTCTTATTCTGTTCATTAATATTTGTCTAATCACAAAATAATTATTTTGATTATTAAGTTGGTAAAATAACACTGCTATATATTATTATATTTTTTTAATAATCTAATATTTTCTGATATTATAATTAATATATCTAATATTATCATATTAATAATCTAACTTGCAAATTAACATTCGGATCAACTACATCCCTGGATTTGCGCTCGTAATGATATCGGCCTTATTAAATCTAACGAGCTTATTGCAGCAATCTCGATCGCAATGAGCCGAATTGGATTTGTCTTACGGTGTATTAAGTTCACCTATTTATCGACATTATTTTTGACAAAAAATATATAGAGAGAAAAAGGAGAAGAGGGATTATTATAATAAATCTATCTTGGTTTATTAAGAATTATTTTAAAACATATGTAAAATATATTCTCTCAAAACTTGAGTTCTGATACGTGCTGTAGTTTTTTTCTTATTAATGTATAATATTTATTTTAATGTTTGCTAAATATGTAAATAATTTTAATTAAATGAATATTAAAAATGCTGATGGCAGTAAATTCTAGCATAAGTATAATTTCTTAGTCTATCTCTATTGTAATTTTACTTTGTAAGCTTAGCAATACCTTGCGTTATGAATGAAATAACTTGAATTTATTTAAAATGTTATTCTTGAGATACAATAATTACGGAGAAATTGGTAAATCTACTCTACAAATATAATCGTTTTTTATTTGAAGTCAATTTTTTTACCAGTTACAACTTGACTATAACAATTTGCAAATATTACACATAATATATTACCTATATGTAATGTAATCAATGATCAATAATTACTTTATAAAAGCAATTCTAATACTCCGATTACTACATTTATTGATATTATTATTAGATAGCAAATTATCTAATATACCATAATCTTATTATATATACATTTTATATACATATATTATGATATTTATATGTGTGTTGTAGTATTTTATTTATAGTATAAATAATTTTATTTAAAGCCATAATTATAAAAATTTACATATTGCACATTATCACTTATAAAAGAATTTATCCATTTACGAAAATTGCAAAATTTACAAATAGACACTTATTAAATGTAAAGCATTCTTTCAAATCATACTTTTAGCCTGATAAAGTGCAAATTATGCAAAAGTTCTGCATCTTTTTTCAAAACTTCTGCAAAACTTTTTTCAAAAATTAAAAAATTATGTATATGTAGCAATGATTAATGAAGATTTAATCGCACCATTTTAATGCTAATATCGATCTATTTTGTAATAACTTCGTTACATTCATAAAAAGTGAATTAAGATTAGTGGGTTCGTACATTGAAAAAATTATTAAATTAATAAATATTTATTTCAATACTGCCTAATAAATCATTCATTTGAAACAAATAAATATTTATCTGTATTTTGAAAAGGATTTTCTTATATCAAATAAATATTTTTCACATTGAATCAATATTATTAGTTTCAATTTATTAGGCAGTATTGAAATAAATATTTATTCGAATTCAATAAACTTTTTTTCAGTGTAACAATAATTCACATAAGAAATATTTTTCAAAAAGTGAAATCACTGGAGAATCACATCGAATTTTATTCCTGTTACAGGACCGTATACAGCACGCTAATTAGTATTAATTGTCCCAATTCATTTATCGTTTCGCATTTTGCTGAAAGGATGAAATTTCTTCCTGAAAAATGCGCGCATAATCGCGTCATCTCATTCTCGGCTATAACCGGCTTATCGTATAAAGATGCAAGACAAAAATGACCTCGCCATCGCGAGACCATGGAAGAATATATAGTGGGGATCATGAGGAAAATCAGAAACCAGTGGATCGACGAGTTAGACGAGGTATATCTTCCGTCGTAGCGAGTGCGAGAGACCAAGCGAGGAGAGCTTGTGATGTCAAGAATATTACAGAGCGTGTCGGCCAATTCACCGTATTATTACTAGTGTTGGTGTCGATCCTATTGCCGACAATGGAGCCGACGTGGGAGGTGAGTAATAGTTATATATTTTCGCGAGATAAAAACAAATTCTCGTTTTGAACAAATATGTCGAGCGCATTGTTTTACGAAAGAATGAGAAGGTCGTCCGGAACGACCTATTCTGGAAAATTCCACTGTCAGCGTGATAATTTTTTAATCGTATAAAATGATTATACAATCATATACACTCACAACAATAACTGTAATCATAAATTACTGATTTGTTTGGTTACTATAAATTCGTATTATAAATAATATTCTTGTTATTCAACTGAAAGAAGTTAAAAATTACTTAACAATAATATTTCAAATATCAATTGTTATTAAATATAATTGTTATAAATATAATGTTATTAAATATAATTGTTATTTTTATATTTATTCCTTATAATATATCCTGTCATGCAATTTAATCAATAATAAACGATAATAATTTTACAATAATTGCGTAGGAATATTTCTATCCTCGAAAAAGAAGTTCTATGTAAATATTGTATATAGCAGCCTTGTCAACAATGTACATAATTGTAAGGTCAATTTATCTATCTCTCTGTCAATTTATCTTATCTTCAATTGAAACAATTAATATTCTTTCAATCGCGTGCTTCGTATACTTTGTTCCTATACTTCGTATATTTCTTTAGAAATGCGTAAAAAATAGCTAAATGTGTTTAAAATAAAAGTAAAATGAGCTTCTATTATGTATTTATATAATAATTGAAGAAATGGACAAACTTAATATATTTTTTATATTTAAATAAATATAATTTTATCGATATATTATACTTCTTATTCAGCGATCTCTTCAACTGCCTGTGATAATCAGTAGATTAATTATTATTTTGAACTCAGAAAGAGTAAAGGGCAATATAACATTTATATAATTTTCTTCCCAACTTTTCTAAATCTGGATAATCCTAAATGCATGATGATAAAATCGCGTACATAGTTTTATCAGACTATTATACAAAACGCGATTTAAATAAAATAAGATGATTTAAGAAGTGGAATAATTGAAATATAAAATCTCATATTTTTATTTTATTTATATCTTTCTTTTCAGTATTTTTAAATATACACGCGACAATAAATAATCGTATTAAAGTTTTTTAATTTTATTATCGCGGCTTTCCTCTCATATGTGTGTATGTAATAATTTACAGAAAGTTGCACAACCGATTCGTCGAGCCAGGTATATGCAGGCTTTAAGAGATTGCTCAGTAATTTATCAGCAATTGTTAGCCGGCAATATGCCGGACAGCATTTGCGGTTTCTCAGATTTCGATCCGATAGTCTGCTGTCCGGCAAATCGCATCACTAGCAGATTACCGCAACAGACCACACCGACGTCGCAAACTACCACTCGGACAGAGATAGTGCGACCTTTGAAGCTGGATGACAGCAGAGGAGCTTTAGCGCGAGCAAGTAAGCTTCTCGATATTGATCTTCCAAACTTAATCTAAGATTGCAAACACTTAAACGTATACTTATCAGCATCCTTTGAATCTAGCATTGCGCATATATTTCGTTCCATGGTTGTGCTTTCGCCGCAAAATCCAATGGCAATGTTATCCCTAAATGATATTAAAAATGTTAAAAGTTTTTCTCTTTATAACTTAAAAAAATTATACTAACTGCATAAAACAAGCGACTTAAATATGCATTTCTACATTTTAAATACCTAAGTCAAAAAATGGAACTTAAATGTCTAGAAGACGAGATAAGAAGCTGTGACTTGTCAAACGAAGGATAAAAGCAAAACTTAAAGTTTTACATGTAGCTTCAAGCTCTCAATATCCATTCATCTGTTCTCCAGAATGCGCGGAAGCTGCAGAAGCTGTCTATGGTTTCGAAATACCACCCACACCGACCTTTGATCGAACGCCCGTAAATGTGTCGCGTTGCACCCTGAAAACACAAAAGCTGATTGTCGGTGGTGTAAAAGCCGACCCGAAGGAATTCCCGCATATGGCAGCTGTTGGTTTCGAGAACGGTCAAGATATCTTATGGAATTGCGGAGGCAGCTTGATTTCTGCCAAAATCGTCCTAACAGCGGCGCACTGTACTTGGAATAGAGACTGGTAGGTTTCACCTTCACTTGCATGTCTAACTAATCTTCAGAAAATTGACGAAAAAAATGATCAAAGCTGCGCTTTCAATTCAAAACTAAATTTAGATTAAAACTTATTTCGATAAAATAAAACATTGGTATTTCTTTAGTTGATTTTCTTTGAATCGAAATAATCAATTTCGCCATTGCTTTTTTTAATGTGAGCAATTTAAGAAAATTGATAAAAATCTTTTATTTAATATTAACTGTAAAAGCGTGCACTTTAATTTCTATTACTCAAAGGGAGCCGCAAAATGGGTGCGAGTTGGTGATCTGAATCTTGTACAAACGACTGACGATGCGAGGCCGCAGGAAATTAAAATTGCAAAAAGGATAAAGCATCCTCAATACGGAGGCCTATCGGAATACCATGACATAGCTATACTACGATTGGAAAAGAAGTTATCTACAATGCATGGGTGAGACCAGCGTGTCTTCCAATTGATCTGCCTGATGTAGGTACGGATAAAAAAGCCGTGGCCACTGGATGGGGTTTAGTCGATTGGTGTAAGATCTTTAATAAAAATTCACATTTAATTAAATTAAATTGAAATTTAAAAAATAACATATGATAATATAAATAATATTATTATATGTAGATGTATGTATAAATTAATATATTACTAGGTAATAATATATTATTTTATTCCACAGCTGAAGACGCAGGCTCAGACAATTTGTTGAAAGTAACGCTCAGTCTGGTCAACCATGCATCTTGTAATGCAAGTTTTTCCGATGGCGGCTCCAATGTACAGTTTGCAACAGGCATAAGAGACGATTGGCAAATATGTGCGGGCGAACCGGGAAAAGATACTTGTCAAGTAATAATATTTTTCTTCGTACTGAAAGAAACCTTTCCTTCTTCCTAACAGAAATTTCTTTTAACTAAGGAAACTATTCCCTTCATAGTTATTCTCTATAATAATTAATTAAATTCAACTGCGTGAGATTTAACTAACTTCTTTTAATTGTATTTATAAATATAGTCAAAGAATTGGTCAAAGTTTAGATTACATAATATTGCTCATTTTATCCTGTAAAATAGTGTAAAAGCATCATATTATTTTCGTGATAAGTAAGTTAAGCGAAAATAAAAATTAATCGAATGCATTTTTTTTGTTTGCAATTATTAAGGGTGACAGCGGAGGACCACTTGCTATCTTTAACAAAAATCATGATTGCGTGTACAATGTGATTGGAATTACTAGTGTTGGACGATTCTGTGGCAGCAACATACCCGGCGTGTACACTCGAGTCTATCATTACATCCCCTGGATAGAGAGAAACGCGTGGCCAGAATACTATCAAAACAATTAATTTCAATTTACTCCGTTTCTCTATATTAAATGTATTATTTTTTTAAGTATTAAATATATATATATATATATAAGAGTTTTAACAAGGCTCTGTAATATAAATATAAATTTAACGTATAAGACGGGCAACAAGAGCCAAATCGCGGATGACAATGCGTTATCCTAACGAAACTAAATAATTTTTCGTTAGAAATAAATACCGGTGCACAAGGCACCAAATTTTTACTTGGACACGGCCAAGATTTTAAATATGAAATAATCTCATATTTTGAGATTTAATTTCAATACCCCTTTAACCCCCCTACGGAAAATAAATAAATGAATGCAAGAGAAAAATATAGATCCGAAAATCGCTGAATCGGGAATTCGATCGCGATTTTCGGATCTATATTTTTCTCTTGCATTCATTTATTTATTTTCCGTAGGGGGGTTAAAGGGGTATTGAAATTAAATCTCAAAATATGAGATTATTTCATATTTAAAATCTTGGCCGTGTCCAAGTAAAAATTTGGTGCCTTGTGCACCGGTATTTATTTCTAACGAAAAATTATTTAGTTTCGTTAGGATAACGCATTGTCATCCGCGATTTGGCTCTTGTTGCCCGTCTTATACGTTAAATTTATATTATATTACAGAGCCTTGTTAAAACTCTTATATTTGATACACGCTGGCTTAAAAAATGCGTTTGTTTACCAACATTAATATATATAACAGAGAAAAGTATAGAATCGAAAGGATCTGAATAGCTCAGCTGGAAGAGCAGTCGCCCGGCAAGCGAAAGGTCTCGGGTTCGTTTCCCGATTCAGCGATTTTCGGATCTATATTTTTCTCTTGCATTCATTTATTTATTTTCCGTAGGGGGGTTAAAGGGGTATTGAAATTAAATCTCAAAATATGAGATTATTTCATATTTAAAATCTTGGCCGTGTCCAAGTAAAAATTTGGTGCCTTGTGCACCGGTATTTATTTCTAACGAAAAATTATTTAGTTTCGTTAGGATAACGCATTGTCATCCGCGATTTGGCTCTTGTTGCCCGTCTTATACGTTAAATTTATATATATTCCTTTTTTATACGATTTGCAGTTTGTAGTTTTTTCTTTCTGTGGCATGTTCTCACTTTTAGCCTGTGATCTTAAATATATACTTGTGAAAAGAAAAAATAAAAATATTTTTAAGTCATTTCAATTTTCTATCTTGTTGCTCATTTCGATCTCTTCATTAAAATCATTTTCCAATATATCTTCCGCGATAGCAGATATATTATTCAGTTGAAGAGAATCAGTAATATATATAATTCAATTTTTCTTTTTTTTATTAAACCAAACGTAATGTTAATAAGGAGCAGCGGATGCACAACAAGGAGCAATTTATGCGAATGCATATGAACTCCCGGAGACGGATGCGCGCGAGTCAGGGCGAATTCCTGAGGATGCTCGGCATCGATCCCTGGACGCGCAAGCGCCGACCGACGAGTTCTCACATCCACTTCCATCATTCCCAATTATCGGCGAGAGTTCGTTCGTCGTATTCGACGAACGTAGTTAGAACACGGCCGTCTATTTTCGTTTCCTTCCAAGAGTTGACCGTCTTTCGCGATATACCGCAGTCAAGGTAAGAAAGTCGGTCGCGAAGCTATCGCATCTCGCGACTTCTGTTATCGAACGAAAATATATAAAGTTCACCTGTACATCGAAAAAGCTCGTGGAAAAAAGGAGGACAAAAAGTGCCCCGAAATTAACAAAAAAAATTATTTTTTTAATAGTGACACGTAATATTAATTTTAATTAAACTTTAATTAAGTGTAAGATCGTTGCAATGTGCTGAAGACGCGAGGTATGCATTACGCGCTTTTGATGATATTTTAGAAAGAAAAAATTTAAAATTTCATGTTATGTTAATATATAATATATAATATAAACATAAAAGATGTAAAACAACAAAAAACTCCAATAAAAATTAATAAACTGATAGGCAGACTCGAGAAACAAATATAGCAAATATACGTGCAATATCAAAAATGAAACAATTTATTAAGAAACTTGAAAATCTTAATGAATTAAAGTTTATAAAAATAATACTTAAGACTAAAAACATATATCGCAATCATATAAAAATAATAATGCAAAATGACACAAACGTTTCTGCTTTAAACTGAACAGAATCTATTTTTAATTAACTTATAAAACCATAACAAAGTGAAATATATAAAAATCAACATATAAAAAGATCAAGATATAAAAATTGTCAAAAGTATTAATGTTGGTTGTTATATAGTTTTGTATTAGTTATCATATTTTTTTTATTTTATGTAATTCATATATAATATATATATTTTTTTCCAATATATTATTTTTGTGAACTTTATCAATTCATTAATAATTTTCAAAATTCTGAGTGAATTGTTTTTTTTTTTATATTGCACTCATGTCTGCTATTTGTGCTCGCCTGTTATTTTATTTATAAAAAATCTAATTATATATGTATAGCAAAATAAATAATTATTTATTTATCTGACTTTTTTCTGTGCTACTCTTTTATAATAATATGATAATATTTCGATAGGTAGACGAACACAGAGGAACTTCTAATGTCGGCTTTGCTAGATGTATGCGGAAATGATACCGGTTCACCATCGATATCGAAAGCTGACGATAATTTATCCAACAGTGATGGGCCTCTGATTAAAGGCCTTATTCGCCAAATAGTTGCGGCAGTGTACATGCAAGGTGAATAAAATAAGCTATATGCGTCAAAATTTAAATTATGTCTTCATCAATTTGGAATAATAATTCTATAATAATTATTGTCTCACTATTAATATATGACTCTTGTTTTCCTCATTTTATTTTATAAGAAGCGTCGGTATTTAAAAAGGAAATGAGCAAGGAACTAATAATCGTAATTAATTCAAAATTGATTAGTTAATTGAAATTATTGTCGCAATCCCTAGACTAAGACTAATTTCACAAATAATTAACCTTCAGTCTAATTAATTAACAGGGCAATCAGCTCTTCGTACGGTATGTCATCGCCGAGCGAAAAAGCTACGAAGAGGCGTTATTGCCTTTGGACGTTGACTCTAGTTTTGGCGATAATCGGTCTCTGCAATCTTTTCCTGAATATCATTGTTATTGCTGTTTTGCGCATTAGTCAGGGAATGGAGGCCATGGAAGTAATTCCAGATGAGAATCTTGTCAAATTTTATGGAAGAACCGACTTGGACAAGGTATGAGTATGCAGTCTTTATATATTGCTGAATATATTATTATATTCTTGAATATTAATATTATGAATTAATTTTATCTCTCCAAAGATATCCCTGCAATCCGGTGTCTGCCAGAGTTACGGCGACGAGCCGATGGAGGTATCCGGGGACGAGGCTGGGGTGCACGTCGACGTAAAGGGCCACATTTATCCAGAGACACATCCGCGTTCAAAGCTAAGCGTCTTGACGAACGGCACCACCATGTCGCAGGTGGAGTCGTTCGAGGTGAAGGATCCGCGCACCGGTGTGACCTATTTCACCACCGACTTCCCGAACTTCGGCCTGCCGAGCGGCGTCGAGACGGTCGATGTGCGGCTCGCGGAGACCTATCGGATCACCTCGCCGGTCAACGAGAGCCTCGCAATAAAATCCGACAATCAGATCTCGATGCACGGCATAGAGGGCGTGCGTATGGAGAGCAAGGACATCGTCTGGAGCGCCGACCTGGAGGTCCTCCTGAAGAGCGTAAACGGTAGCGTCGTGCTGGACGCCAAGGATGGTGTTTCCATTGACGTGGAGAGCATCCCGGTGGCGCCCATGTTCTTGCAGAGTCCAGCCGGGACTCACGAGCAGTACAAAGTCTGCGTTTGCATGCCGCAGGGCAAGCTCTTCAAGATGCCAGTCCGGCCGGGCGCGAGTTCTCGCACCGTCAATTGCGCGCGAGTCGCCAGGACTCCCGAAAACGATCCGTGTCTACATTGAATTCGAAGTAAAGACTGATATTTTCTACAACACGCTTAAATAAAGCGCATATCACTGCCAGATAGGCAAATGCGGCGAAATTCGAAGCCTGAATTTGTGTAACATCGATAGGCAGTACGTTAAGCAAGATATAGTAGACGATAGGGCCTCGGCACATTTATACAATATCGTTGACACATAATCATTAATTCGCATATCTTTAAGAAAAATACTGACACAAAGATTATGTAAGCCGAATCTTTAGAGATCAAATCTCTCTATAACGCTTAAGCGTGAGTGAGAATATAAAAGCTTAAGGTGCTATCATGTAAAAACAAAACTCTTAGAAGTAGTGTTATATAATCGAATTTTTTTGTGTAGAATACATACTATTCTATTCTATATTTTATGTATACACGAAAAATCACACATTTTTTGTGGACACATTCAATACCTTGAATCGTTCCCGCATAAATATGAACATCGTGAATAAATGATGTCACCTTAAGATCATCGACGGAACTCATCGAAATGTATTTGCGAATGTTAAATACAGTATTTTATAAGAAACGACAATAAGAAAGTAAAAGCATCATTTCGTTTCATCAAAAAACGAGGAAACCTCGGTGCATATCATAAAATTTTATACGCTTTCCGTGATCATCTCCTCATTGCTTTCGTCCATGTCCTCCTGCTGTTCTTGTTCCGTGGGTGGCTCGTATGCTTTGTCCAACGGACTTGCCACTACACCACCCGCCCATACGCTCATCTCCACGGCGAGTTTGTTAGAACCTTCCAACAATGGTCTATAACCGCCGTGAGCTAATACGCGCAATAATGTCTGGGCAGTGAGACATACGAGATCCTGTTGTTCAAGAGTCATCGCGGTATGCACGCGTATATTACCACCCTCACACGGATCCGAAATACCTGAGAAAAGTTATTAAAATCCTTGCAACACGCTGCGATTGAGGCAATATTTGCTACGTCAATTATTCGGAACTTGATACAAATAATTCCCGTAATTCATATCTAACACACAGAAGACTCGTCTTGAAGCAGCATTATAAAAATTATCCTTACTCATGACGTCATAATTCATAATGATCTAGGGTGCGTTCCGTTATGTACTGCAAGTACTGACACTATGACGTCATGCAAGTGTACTGTTGACAGCGTTCCTTTTTAATTTTGTGCACTTTGAAGTTACTGCAAAATAGTAAAACGGAACGCACTACAGTACGCTTTCAGCAGACTTTTAACTAACCTTTTTCGCTAATAATCATCGAGTGAAAAATTGGTGAAATGGATAATACCATTATTGCATTAAGGGTCGACAGGCGACATGGTGGAGACGCCTATCGGCCGGCCGGGAATTACGGATTCTTATTTTCCAGATATTAGCAAAAATATTGAATGAATCTTATTAAATTTAGGATATTCTTAATCAGTAAGCTCATTTGTAGTCCTCTAAAGAGCTATTTTATGAAAAAAAGATAAAAATAAAAATTTTTAATAAACTTGGGGGAATGCACAGTTAGGAACGGGTAAGGTTGGGTTAGCCGCGAGTCCGTATTTTATTTATTATAAATTTTTAAGAGCGAAAATGTAAAATCCGGCCTTTTAGAGGACTGCTTTATTATATAAAGAATATATTAAAAAAAATTCACGAAGTTATGTCACTTATTTTATGAAATATCTGGACGATAAGATTCTCACTAGATTCATAAGGAGCAGGGGAAATTTCTGTGGTAACATGCTGACTGCTTGACAAGGAGAGAGCATCATTCCATCTTTGTCTCTCTTACATCGCATATGTAGTAGCGTCCATGTAGGTACAAAAACTAATACGTGAGCACACGGATGCAAATATTGAGAGATAATGTCAGCAAAAAGGCTATCATATTATTTTTATTTTTTTGTATATGTATGCATATGTAAATAAAGAACAAAAATAAAAACTATTTTAAATAATAAGAATCTATTTGTGTGTGTGTGTGTGTAATTAAAAATTAATAAAAAATTAAAAAATCAATTTATATACCATATATTTTTTTATATCATATAAAAAAATCTTAGAAATGTACTTAAATTTTTCGTAGATCCTCGATTTTTTTCATTGCTTCTAAACATTCAGCTAAAAGAGCAGTTGAGACTATTCGAATAAAAAATATTTCATCTTATTTTTTGCAAATAATATAATATATTTTTTATTTAGGAGTCCAAAAATATATGTTACGCATAAGTTATTTATAATTTTCGTTCAAATTAAGAGAATATTGTATTGAATATATTGTAATGCATATACACATTAATTTTCATTAATTTACTTGTTTAACAAAAACATGGTTTTTTGATAATAATTTAAAATTATTTCTGCTCAGTGATTTTTAAATAGCCGCAGTATATTGACGGTGCAAAGGTAGCATAATCAATTGTTTTTTAAATGAAAACTGGAATGAAGGAATTGATTAAAGCTGTTTTAATTTGTAGATTTAAAATTTAAATTTTAAGTTAAAATTCTTAAAAGAAATTATGGGACGAGAAGACCCTATTAAATTAATATAATTTTTTTATTTAAGGAAATAAATTTTATTTTAATGATTATATTTTATTGGGAGGATAATTAAATAAAATGAACTTTAATTTAAAGATAATTTTAACATTAATTAATGAAATTTTTATAAAGGATTGATTATTAAATTAAGAAAATTTTTTTTTTATAATAATTATAAAAATTAATTACCTTAGGGATAATAGCGTAATATTTTTAGAAAGATCATATTAATAAAAATGATTGCGACCTCGATGTTGAATTAAAATAAAAATTAAATAAAGAAGTTTAATATTTTAGTCTGTTCGACTAATAAAATTTTACATGATTTGAGTTCAGATCGGTGTAAGCCAGATCGGTTTCTATCTATAATAAAATTAAGAAAATTTTGTACAAAAGGACTTTTTTTTTAATTATATTTTTTTTAATGAATAAATTTAATTGATCAAATATATATAAATAAATAAAATTACTTTGGCAAAATTTAAGTGTATTAAATTTAGAATTTTAATGATGTATAATAGAAAAAAGTTATACAAGTAATAATTTGTCAAAATTTAAGATTATATTTTATAGTGCGTTAAATATATTAAGATTGTTAATTTTGTTATTAATTATATTAGTTGGGGTAGCTTTTTTAACTTTATTGGAACGAAAAATTTTAAGATATGTACAAATTCGTAAAGAACCTAATAAGGTGGGATTTATAGGATTATTTCAATCTTTTAGTGATGCTATTAAATTACTTAATAAAGAATTATTTTATGTATATAAATCTAATTATAATTTTTTATTTATGTCCTATAATTAGATTTGTTTTAATAATAATATGATTAGTATTTCCTTACATTACTAATATTTATTTTTAAATTATTCTATTTTATTAATAATTGTTTTTATAACTATTAGAGGGTATGTTATAATTTTTATGGGATGATCAGCTAATTCGATTTATTCAATAATAGGAGCAATACGATCAGTTTCACAAATATTATCATATGAAGTAAGATTTATTTTAATTATTTTAGTTATTATATTAATAAGAGAGAGATATTCTTTTTTTGATTTTATTAATTATCAATTTTATTTATGATATATAGTAGTTTTATATCCTTTGTTTATTATAGTGTTTATTAGGATTTTAGCTGAATTAAATCGAAGTCCTATAGATTTTATCGAAAGTGAGTCAGATGATTTAATATTGAATATTTTAGGGGTGGGTTTACATTAATTTTTTTATCTGAATATGGAATAATTATTTTTTTAGATTAATTAGAATTTATATATTTAGGAATTTATTAAAATATTCAATAATTTTAACTTTTATTTTAATTAATATTTTATGTAGAATAGTAATTTTTATACATGGAATACTTCCTCGAATACAATATGGTAAATTAATATATTTATGTTGGAAAATTATTTTACCAATAATTTTGGTTTATATTTTATTAATTTTTGGATTTAAATTTATATTATTAATAATAATTTAGTAAAAAAAATTAAATGTTTAAAAGTTAATAGAAAATTAAAATTTCTTTAATATGTTTTCAAAACATAAACTTAAATTCAAGATTATTAACTTAATTTAATAGTAATTTATAAAAATTTAAATATTAAATATAATTATTTTTAATATTTTAAATTTATTTATAATAATAAATTTTAAAATATTTATTTAAAAATAATTAAATCTCAAATTTTTATTAGGAAAGGTAATAAGATAAAATAAAGAAAGTAACATAATGATAAAATTTGTCTAATAATGATAAAAGGTTGAGCTCCTGCTCATGTTAATAGAATAAAAATATTAATGAAAATTCAAAATAAATATTGATTTAAAGGATAAAATGATAATGAATTAAATTTTATAGAAATTAGAGGTAAAAAATATAAGATAATAATTGATGATAATAATGCAATTACACCTCCTAATTTGTTAGGGATAGATCGGAGGATAGCATAAACATATAGAAAATATCATTCAGGTTGAATATGAATTAAAAATGTATTTTATAAATAAATGAAATATTATATATATATATATATATATATATAAGTGTATATATATATATATATATATATATATATATATATACAGATATGAAAGAACTTACGAGTAACGTATGATGGCTCAATGCAAGAATATTTAATCACGTAAAAAACTTGAGTTCAAATATATCAATATCAATTTTTTTATAATATATTAGAATATAGAAAATCATAGAAATATATTTTTTATATAGGCGATAAACTTAAAAATTTGATATTGAAAATATTTTAATCATTTTACAACTACACACACTATAAATATATAAATGCAAAATACTTCCGTAAATAAATTTCAATAAATCAATTGCACACATGCACACAGCTGGTATGTAGATTTTTATTAAATTTATTTTCTGAATTATTTTACACTTATATATATGTAGTAAAAATATTTTCAATATATTAAAAAATTTTTAAATCGCCGAAATATATTTTATCATTTTTCTATATTCCAATATATATATATATATATATATATATATATTGTATTATAAAAAAATTGATATTGATATATTTGAACTCTAATTTACTGGATGATATACTGAACATCCTTGCATTGATTATATATTACTCAACGGTACGTTCTTTCACGTTATAAGTTATTGGAGCAAATTATACAATAGCATCAATAATCAAAAAGAAATCAAGAATAATCAACATATCCCTTATATAATATATATATATATATATATATATATATATATATATATATATATACGCACATATGTGCATAAGGATATATAAAATTTATAAAAAGTAGGTACTTATTAGCCTTGCTACGCTACTGCCTTCTGCTACGGAAGGCCAGAAAGCATTTTCAGGCGGCATCTCGCGTATACCGGCACGGTAGAGGAACAAGGAGAACACGTGATTATCGGTCCTTGTCTCTCTACGGTGCGTCCGCGTGAGCAATGCAATGGTGTATGTACGTGTACAGACATGCACCACTACATAAAACCCGAGAATTGGATTCTCGGCGTTGGCAACACTGAAATCGGAGTTTCGCGTTGTCACCGCGCGAGGTCTCCAACATCAATTCGGAGTTTGGCCGACCGACCTGTCGACCCTTAATTACATATAATTTAATCGAGAATATATATTCGAGTGAGTCATCAAGTGAAAGCGATTTGGAATAAAATGTAAAAATTACGTTGAAAATATTGTATCATTATATTCAGATATGGAATTTAAAAGTTAGTTCCACCGTACACATGGAGGTAGCCATCTTGATTACTGCGAGTGCTTTACCTCGCCGGTTGCAGTAATCGCAACAGGAAATAACGTCAAAATTAATGACGTCATATACTCATGATAGTACTTTCGCAGTGTACTGCTATCTATATCGGAACGCTATTGGTAGTACTGTCAGTACTTGCAGTGCATAACGGAACGCACCCCTAGTCAAAGATTTTAATTCCAAGGAAAACAAGTAAATTTATAGCATAATTGCGGCGCAACATGTAATTTTTATAAAAAATTAATAAAATTTCATATAACGATAAAATAAATGCAATTTTTTAAAGAATATTTTCGGGAAGACTTTACTCAATTATTTTTCTATATTTATATATAGAAATTCTTTTAAATTTGAAGTAGAGACAAATAAATTAAAATACCTGCTGATCCAGGAAGGAATAATCCAGAAGCAAGCAACTGCAATACTCTTTTGTACGCCTGATTAATCGGTAAAGCTTGTCTACTGGGATTATTCATTATTGCATTGTGCGCCAACAAATCCAACATCCATGGAGATAGTGGCTCCAAACCTTCGAATCTGTTTCTGAGATCACGAAGTAAGCGTATTAAAACTTTAATACTAGAATGATGAGCATTTTCCTCAAACCAACGAGAATGTCTAATAGCAGCGAGATGCCCTATAAATAAAAAATGTATTTTCTAGTAACAGTTACTAAGATTTTTATTTCATTACTACCTAAAAAAATAAATAAATAAATAAAATAAAATACAAGACAATTACCTTGACAAATTTTGACGTCTAAATGTTGATCAGATTCTAGTTTGCGTAGATTTTGATGCAGTGTGGTTATCAATACACGAACAGTAGCTTCGTTATTAGCTATATCAAATCCCCGTTCAGTCTGTATAACTCTGAATATTTCTTTCGGATTTACAGATTTCAGATCATTATTGACTTTGTTCCCGAGAGCTTCCACTGCCGTTTTCGTCGGTAAAGTTTTCAGAATTACAACAATGTCAGCGACATTGTGACCCTTTATCATTGTACCTTTCTTGAAACTACCAACTTGTCTGACTTCCTCTAATTGCTATATTGAAGACACATGTAAATGAGATGCATATAATATATTACACAAGATAGAAATATTAAGTGCAAATATGTGAGCAGTTTAATTTTTGATTAATTAAACATGACATGTACTTACGCAAGCTTCAAAAGTTCCTGGTGCAACAATCAAGTTATCAAGAACAGTCTGCAGTTTAGTTACAAGATTTAAAATGGAAGTTTGCTCTTTTGGTGTAGGACACATGTCAGAATTCTTCTTTAAAAGGGCTGATTGAAAGTCCGATTCATCTGGAGCGGGTTTAACACGAGGAAAAGCAGCTTCACATAGCGTGTAGTCAAATGGATGACGTGGCAGAAATTGTTTTCGTGGAAACCCCATTCCACGTCCCATACCTCCTCGACCGCCTCTGATCATGCCTCCGCGACCTCGTACCATGTTATTTCTGCAACAATAAATAATATAATAATGTAATAAAATTACTTCAATTTATATAAGTAACACATATCTGCATCATATTATTTTTATTTACTAAAAGAAAGAAATTGTTTTAATTATATTAATTAATATTTATTAGATACATATTTCTTTAAAAGTAAACAAATATGATAGGGTTGTCCGCTTACATTTTTTAAGCATAACTAAAGTTTAATTTATCAAAATTTTAATAGTTTATAACAAATTATTCATAATTCCAAATTATTGTCCTAAAATCCGCCATACTTTAACATTATTCTATCATTAATTATTTATATGATCCAAAGAAATTGGGAAACTGACACACCCATGTATATATTTGTAATAAAAGTAGATAATAGCAAAGATAGGTTATATTATACTCGAATAATTATAACAATATTCCACAAAATATAATACGTTCACCTACGTATATTTGATAAGTGTTGATCATTTTCACACTCATTCTTCAAGCTAATGTGCTTAAAATATTCGTAAACAGTAGACTACACAAAAATCAATACGACGCTTCTGGATAATTTAACCTAATCAAGGAGCATGTTTTCTCACTTAAATCGGAGTATTTTCAGTACGAGAAAGTTGGAGATCAATAATACGTTTCTATACCTTATATATAAGCAATACACTCACCCAAAGGGCGCAAATTGGAAGACGTGATGATGATTTATTAATAACTGAAAAATATTCGCCACTTTGGCGTCTAACGCCGGTTACAAAGCACAGTCCTATGAGAGCGACCATCCCGGCCGGTTTTTGCAGGATACGTCACCGTATTTACCATAGCGCCATCTACATTCATCGAGAAAACTGGAAAAAACTAGTCAAGCTTTTTTATCGACGGTGTCGATTAAATATCTATATATAATTACCATTGTAAATATCCCAGGTAATGCGCTGACGTCATAAACGTCAAAATGACGTCTTTTTGACGTCGACTGACGTCAGCTTGTTACCTGGAATATTTTGCATAACTTTAGCATGTTTTGACAAATATTAAATTTTCATTATTTCCGATAAGATGTAAGATATACGCTCCATATTATTGCAATTCATGTATAAAAATACATTAATTAATTTAAAATATTTATGTATTCTCTTGTTCATCTTTTTATCTTTTTCAATGTGTGTGTCTTGCAATATATTAAATAAAACCAATTCTTTTGCAAACTACCCAGATAGCACAAGACGTCCTATGGACGTACATTTTATATCCATTTTACGTATGTACGTCCATGGACATGAAATGAACGTCCATTGTACATCCGATTTCGGACATCCATCAGTGACTAATATTTGGACGTCCACAGGATGTCCATCAAATTCTCTTACAGCACGAAATATTGCTAAAATATTGCATAAATATTTTATTTTATTGTATCATAATAAATATTGAAGCAACATTGTGCAAATATTATAAATTTAATATTTTATTGGAGACATTGCAAAATATACTATGCAATATTATCTTGTAATAGTTCCTTCATTTGCCGCTATGCGACGCAAGATTCGCTGTTCATCTCGCTATTAAATTTAGTTAAGAGAATTATAAAGCGCATGCAAAAAGTGGCTATTACAGTTAAATATGTTATAATTATTCTGATCAGTTTAACCTTTCTGATACTATCCCAACACAAAAATTTAGATATTGAATTAATTGAAAAAATTGAACAAATAAAAATTCGGATAAATAAAATGCGAAAATAAGAAATATTCTGCAATATTTTATGATTAGTATAAAATGAATTAATTTTGCATGTCAAATTTATTATTGCTTATAAATTTCTTCTTTATGAATTTTAAATGTCATTTTCAATGATATACATGTATAATAAAGAACCAAAATATGTTTATTAAAGATTTAAAATTTATTCATAAAGATCCAAAATTCGTCCATTAGATACATAATTTATCCATTTAAAATCCATAAATGACCAATAATGGACGACTTATGGACGTCCAGACCAGTTGCAAACGGACGTACAATGGACGTCCCTTGTACGTCCGCTGCAGGTAATCTGGACATCCGATGGATGTACACAATGTCCGGATCGGACATCCGTTGTACGTACATAGGATGTACTTGTGCTTATTGGGTATATACAGATGAAGAAAACGTGCGCTAAAATTGAATTGTGTAAAATCTGTCACGCGATCGCTATCGGATTGTGCTAGAAAGAAAGAAGCTCACGATCACGTCTGATAGAAAAGAAAGCTAATTTGGAAGCGAGTCAGGCGAAGTTAACGAAGCTCTTGCATCAAGACGACACCGTCGAGAAATTGGAACGAGTCGAACAAGAGAACAAAAGGCGAAATGTGCACGCTGATCTGCAAAGTCAATTAGCGGACAATCCTCGACGAATTCAAGACGAAAGAAATCAAGAGAAAGAGCTGGATCGCAAAATGGTAGCGCAGATAATGCGAAAAATTCAGGAGAAAGATGTAAAAGTAACAGAGAAGAAAGCTAACAATGCGATTCTGTTAAGAAAGGAGATGATCTCATCTTTGGCAGCCGAGGATGCCTGGAAAAGAAATATAAGAAAGCATTGGAGGATGAAGACGAGAGGCTATCTCGTATAGTTGCGAAGAAGAAAGCTCGACAAGAGAAACTGCTCGATAAGAAGGTAAATTATGATCTTTGAATAAATTAGGTACATATAACAGGATGTATATTCAAATCTTATAAATAAATTCCAGGTACTTTTGTTCAAAATTCCAAGTAAAATTAAAGTATTAAAAAAATTTTAAATATACAATTTTAAATTAAATTTATTTTTGTTATACATAATTTTTTAACATAAATAAAATATTTTTCAATATAATAATATGATATCTTATAATAAAATGTATATTTTAATATACTTTATATAAACTTAATAAATTTTATATTCTTTAAAGATATATTTGAAAATAAAATCAAAGGGGAAATTTTTTTTTTAAATTTCCTGAGATTTCAAGGTTTTCCAAGTTTTTCCCGGAGTATACACCCTGTATATGTATATAAAATTTAATCAATACCATAAATTGATGCGATAAAAATTTAATGACACGTATTTTTCGTGACATAGACAGAGTTTCGCGAGATGAGAGAAGCGGCGATAAATAAAGTAGCTGGAAAAATGCTGGATAATGTATGTAAAAAAAGAGAATGGAAAAAAGTATCTAACGAATTGCGTCAGGAAGAACAGGAAAACAAGTGGGCAAAGGAACCGACTATGCTTACGTTAAGGAAACAATACGCTACTGCTGAATTTCTAAAGGAAATGGCAAGAATTTCAATAGTTTGCAATTAGCGAATTAATAAATTTAAAGAGTATTCGAATCGCTCATTTTCTGCAAGAATACAAAAATTATATAAATAAGAATAAGTGAGTATGTTTGTATAAAAATATATAAATGTATTATTTGAAGGTCAGACGTCAGAAAGCTATCGCTGAACACAAAGCAAAAATGAAGCGATTGATGCCGCATTTACACGGTATTTGACCAAAGAATAAGATGCTGAAAAGAAAAGAAACCAAGATGATGCACGTCACATTATGTTCTAATATTTCTGTGATTTATTCAAATACGTAGTAGCAAATGTGTAAACTTATAGTTTCATTACGTATATCAAAAAATTACAATTTAATTATAATATAAAATGCTATAGAAAAGACAAAATTATAATTACAAAATTACAATTTATATAAAAATTATATAAAATTTATGGTCTCTCTTAAATATTCCTCATATTGCATTTTTAGAGTATATTTATTTTATATAATTATATAATATAAATATACTCTAGAAATGCAATATGAGGAATATTTAAGAGAGACCATAAAAGGGTCAAACGACAGAAGCAAAATAATATAATTGCAAAAGAAAAAAAATTTAATATGAACATTGGAGGATGTACAAGTGATTAGTGATCTAAATTCACGATTGATTAATAAAAGGAAGAAAAATAACGTTGCACAGATTTATCTATTTCAATGAAGAAAAATTAAGGAATAACAATAAATTTTAATAGTGCATCTAAGGTGTTTAGTTGTGTAATATTTAATTTATCATATAAAATTCCAAAATTTTTACTTAAAACACTAGTGCTTTGAAGAATAATATGTATAAGAATGTTTAATGAAAAATTTGAAGCTTACGACCGGGCGATAGCGAAGACAAAAATTGAAAATCTTGAAAGTATATTTAGCGTCTAAATACAGATTATTATTCAATTTTTATTTCCTGATATTCTACAATGATAAACTTATGCTTCTATCCTCATAAATTAAACTACACTTATTTTCTTGGCAAAATGCTTCTATACTAATCGCTAAATACTTTCTCATTCTTCAACATGTGTTCGCATTCTACGCGATCGCAGCTTCTTCTCTGTCTTTTTTCACATTTCGTCTAGCATTTATTGGTATACAGGTATGTACAAATCGCGTGATTTCTCCACGCGAATTCCTGTTATATTTGTACAAAGTCCGTGTAAAAATACAGCAGCCCCATCTTATATCAATTACAAGTTTACGCGATAAAAGTTAAAATAAAATAACAGTCTCGCCTCTCGGACGTATCTAATATTCCGAATAGGTTCGGATCGAGACCACTTGTGCCCTCAACTTTGTCGATCCGAGTGTGTGTGTCGTGTCATTTGGCATGCAGGGGTTCATCCCTTTTCCCCCTGCTACTGTCAACTATTAAATGGAACAAGAAGCACTCGAGTGTAACGGGAATGATTACAGTATGTAAGTACGAGCAATCAATTTGTCCTCGGTGCGGCTATCTAGTCACTATAAATATGCTCAGCGCTCTCATCATCCGCAGATCAAAAATACAATGTTTAGCTATACGGTTATTGAACTACGGTATTTTTTTTTCAAAGTCATACGATGAATATGCACATACATAGAAAAAGATTTCACGCCACGTGGCAGTGCCGCTAAATAATTTACATGAGCAATCAGAAATCTTCAGTCTCATCAATAAATGTTAAAAGCTTAAAGAAATTCTTGTAGAAGCTTGAAACATTTTTTTCATATAAAAGTAGTTTTGTCAATCTGTTTCAAAACATGTCATGTGAAATAAAATAAAATTGAAAAGAATTTTATTTCCATTTGAAATTTCAACGTTATTATTCCTTTTATTTCACATTAGAAAGTTCAAATAGACATCAGATTCCTTTCGATGTGTTTTCTGCTTAATGTATATATATTTCATAAAAATTTTTTGATTTTCTCGTTGCTTTTTCACAGTATCATGTTTTGTTAACTTAGCAGTGCTAAGTATCTCTCTCTTCAATTAAATAAACTTGATTTAATTCAGTAAATTGAAAAAAAATAGAATCGCAATTAAAATTCTTATACTAGAGATGTGCTTATTAAAATGAATAAAAATATTTAATATCGATTAAAATAAATTTTAAAAATAATATAAAAAATATACTCAAAAATATAATCGATACCTATTTTTCTCATTAAACTCATTATTAATTCTTCAGTGAATATATCTACTTTGAATTTTCCTTTGATTTTGTTATAAATTGATTACTTTTTCGATTTCTGTTATTTATTGATTAATCTTGCGCTAATTAGGATCGTAATTCGGAACGAAATTAGAACATAATTATTTGAATGGCGCAAAATCTTTCTCATATATATGTTTCACATCGCACTCATCGAATTTACGCAGGTGTAGAAAATTGTTTAATCTATAATTTGCGTTTACAGATTTGATTCATTTCATCGCGACTGAATCTCTCACTGGACAGACTATATAAAGATAACAGCTACAGATTTATCATCTACACATTACAGAATCCGAATATCTCAGTATTTCTGTTTTCTACCTGCTGATTCTACGTCCAAGCTACAGATTCTTCCTCTTTTTTTGTTTTGTTTAAATTACAACGTAAATCTTACGACCAAAGCGGAATACATAGTTCTAGTTATTTATATAATATAGTATATAAGTATCACAATAAATGTATATATATTTATATATAAATATATATATAATATATTTATATATATATATATATATATATATATGTATAGATAAAGATACAAAATAAAATGCAAAGTTAATGGATATTCAGATTAAACGCTCGTCGCAATCGCACATAAATTTGCAGCGATTTTACACGCAGCAACTAGGCACAATAAAGCGAATCGCGCCACTGGATTAATATAATTGAGTAAGAATTTGAGGATTAAAATCGAAATTTTCTCATTGAGCTCTGATTTAAATACGTTATTTAAATAAAAAAAAGATTTTTTTCTTTCCGACATATGCAAACACATGTTAATAATAGTTAATTTTCGCAAATAGCTATTGCGAATTTAAAATTATTTAAATCAAAATTAAGATATGTTATAATAAATTCTACGAGAATTCGAGAACGAAGAGAGTCAAGAACTTTTAAATTTAATCTTGTATTTCTTCGAGATAAAAGAAAACGTGTACTCAATTTTACAGTTTCTTTCGATTCAATTCAATTCAATTCAATTTTTATCGTGATATAACATCGATAATTTAATTCACCGAAATGATATTGATTTTGATTTTCGATTAATTCAAAAGATGGATATAACACAGTTCGATCTTAAAAATTAAAGCGCTTCCTTACAAGTTAAGCAATCCTGTTTATAAATTCGTGTAAAAGTAACATCACATATTCTTATTAAATTAAGTACATGTACGAATGTATACAAATGCATTCACACACACATACACACACATACACGCGAATCAAACTGATTTTTTATTATAAATACCACTTTCAGCAGTTAATGGAACCGATTATGTAAGTATACAAAACACGGTCAGCCAAGAGTATAAGTGCTTTTGTTAGCACAGTTTCTGCAAAGTCTTTGTTTATCTATATAAGTAAATACATAATAGATGTATTTGTCTTTACGAGCTTTGGAGTTGAAATATCATTCAATTATCAAATTAGGCTGTCAATTGCACTTGACGAATAAATGTTATAAACACACGAATCGTCGTAGAAATATAAATATTAATATAATATTTACTACCGATATCTATATTTTATTGCAAAAATTAATCGTACGAGCGATGTGTCCTTTAAAAAATATAATTAATTAATAATTAATGATATATAATAAAGTTTTTTTTAAACTCCAAATAAGATTATTCCAATATAAGATTCAAAAACTGAGAATTTTCGTTTGCCATATATGAGAGTACTTATTTACATAAATCTAAATAGAATATATAGTCTGGAAATTAGAAATTAATAATAACATAATTCACTTACATTTACAGAATTGTGAATACACACACCGCGGTATTAATAATTTTAATTAAATTAAAAGAAACCTATCAAAACCCTGTTTATATCGCTTAGTAATTTTTATACGTAAAAAATAGATGAAGTTATTATATTTATCTTATTTCCTTTCTTTCTTGCTTTCTCCTCGTGAATAATACTTGTTGTTACGGAATGATATATAAAAATGAATACCGCCAACGAGCGTATTAATATTATTAATGTTATTATCCTTGAGTATCGATCCGATTTTGTTTGTTACTTTACTATACAGAATGACAACTCATACTTGTTGCATGTTTAACATGTCAGACAGGCAGTATGAGAAGTCAGCGATTATAAACAGATCTTAAGAGAGGATACATTAACCGTACTCATACGTGTTGGCTAATAAGAGCTAGCAGGAGTCGATTTCATAATGATTAACCGAACCGGCGAATCGCGGATCTATCGCCTGGAGTAAAATTGTGGCAGCTTGAGAGATTGCGAAGCCGACTCTTGAAACGCGAACACGTGAATACTCTCTGTACCGAGATATATATGTATTTATATATATATATATTTTTTTTTTAATATTCGACTGCACGCGAGCCGCGAGCGCAAGGAACTTAAATTCGGCAAACGCATTCGATGCAAAAAATATACAAGTCAATTAATAAGAATCGATAGAAATCCGTTTCATACAACGGATTCTAAAATATATGTATATATTTGTGATAGAAAGACAAAAATATTTTTCGCACTATCACCTTCACCGCGAATTAATCTCAATGTATTTATAATATTATCGTATTACTTTCTCTTAATTTAATTCTTGGAGTTATAAAAATGTTTCTCTTTTTATGTCGATAATATATTTAATTGTATAGATTTTTTCTCTTTACTTTATCAGAAATATATTTGGAAAGAGAGAGATCTAAACGTAAACAAAACGATTATCTATCGATTTTAGTTAATCCACTTATCTTTCGCAGAACAGGAATGTCTAGGCAGCATAAAGCATATTTACAAATGGAAATTACGCTCGGAAACACGATCGGACAAAGGCGTAAGTACACTGAGTGTTAGCACCAGAGATATTGGGAGATTGAGTATAAAGTATAGGAGGAACGACGTGTCTCCTCCGATAGCAATCGCGAACAATGAAAAACTCGGCGGAACAGGCGTCGTTAAAGAGATGTTGTCTTAAAATATATAAGCGGTCCGCCGTTGGCTCGATTTTGCTCGCGGATGCGCTGAAGACACAAACTAGATCCCCAAAGAGGGATGCTTCGAGATGTAGCAGATTAGGAATTGTCAACGATAGGAACCTCTCGAGTGAATGATAATACTACTTTAACGCCTTACAGGCAGATCGGGCGACGAAGAAACGAGAGGACCTCCCGACAATCTGTTCAAGCCCATCTGACGTTTTAAATGGACGTCAACCTACTTCAATGTCATATCAACTCTCTAATCGTGATAAACTAAGGTTTGTTCCTCTGCGTCAATATAATAGCCCTAACTATAATATACATATATAACTGTAGCTAATATGTGTATGATACGTCACATTATAGTGAAATGGCTATAATGTAAAATATATATATATATATATATATATATATATATAAATTATATTATAGCTAAAGCTATAATTTGCAATGTACAATGCACTTTGTAATGTAATTTTAGCTATATTATATAGCTAGGGCTATAATATAAAGTATGTAAGTTATGTTACAGCTAGAGCTAAAATATAGAGTATTTTTTATAGCCGTATCATAGTAAGGACTGAGAGATGTAAAGATTATAGCTACACTTTATAATTATGGCTATAATCTTGAAAGGAGCGACTGATAAAAATCAATTAATCAAAGCTATCTATGCTTTAACGCATTTTTCCTTTTGTCATCCTCTCGATCGTGATTGATATATCGATATAAATGATTTACCTTCGCCAGGCGCGATTTTCCTTAAGCGTCGAAAAATAGGGTACAGAGAGTAATAGCACAGGCACAGTATAAAGATAAAGCATTGCTTTCAGTACGTTTTGCATTTTGAGTACGATATATCAGTTGCACACTGATTCTCGAAAAGCTATCATCGACGAAAACGAATTGTAAGACATAATCTGCTTTCACAGTTTCGTTAAGTATTAGGCGAGTGTGATCAGCAATGTATACAATACTTGCAGCATTTATTTGCCAGTCGCTCTTAAACAGTTGATTTGGCCCCTTTCTTTGGAAGAAGAAAACTGGCTCGATCGTCGAAAACTAATGCTGGTGCAACGTTTGTCATCGTCCAAGTGGAAATTTCGTTCGTTCCAAGGTCTTCTTTTCAGCTGAACTGGCTGCACCATTTCAGAAATTATCTTTTTCTTTCCAATGTAGAGTTAAAAAGCTAAATCGAACTATTGTAGCCAGTTCAGCTGAAAAGAACGGACCTCTAATCGCACGTGAAAAACATTTTCACCGATCACAGCACGAGCAATCACAAACGTATATAACCAGTCCGTCACGCTATTATTCTAGAGATGAGGAAAGGAAGAACGATAAGAATCGATACATATCTTCTTGGTTTATACATCAGACAATCGGCAAATAGTATTGAAACATAAAGCAAAACATCGTTCGATAAATTCGGAAATAAATCAATTAGACTACTCTTCCCTTCCACGTTCTCGGACGGGATTCTTTCAAGCACGCGCTAGTGCGATTCAACGCATCATTTATTATCCCGCGCGCATATAATCCTAATAAGGTAATTTCTCATTCTTGGGCTAGAATAAATAGCTAAGAACTACTTACTAGTCGCATAGCGACTCGAAAGAGATTCAAACACGCGAATTGTACCCATCGAAATCCGTGGTCACGTGTCCGAGAAGAGAAACTCGCTCTCTGATAACAGTACTTCCAAATCGGAGGGTACGGTGTGCAAATCGGAATTGGCTGGTTCCGGCAGATCACTTCCGCTGTTCCCAATGCCGGTAGGCGCGATCTGTCGTGCCCTGCCTATTCTAACTCGATCCTTCCTCTTGGCTGCCGTTCGCAGAAGTACTCCGGTTCTCGGCAGTTTCGCCGTTCTACCACTCGCGTTAGCGTGACTCGCAGTCGCGCCTGCTGGTGCCTGCGCCACCTTGTCGGATTTGCGTAGCTTCACGCTAAATCGGAACGGAGGCTTGTACACCACTTGGAGTCTCGCCCGTTCCTTCCTGGCGAGGGAACTCGACGAGTTCTTCAATTCCACCACCCTTCCAGCTTCCAGAGCACCGGAACGTCGCGCGGATATCGAAGCTTGTTGCCTCGACACCGGCGTCACCGGCTGCCTGGACGCCACCGCACCACTTCCACTGGCTGTTAAACCCACCGGGGTTGACTTGCTCTTTGGCAAACCGCTCACGTTAGTCCGCGCCCCGATGTCCGGTCGGCACTGCGACGACGCTAATAACCACGAACGCACCTTGCTTTTAGGATCTGCATTTGGCTCTGGTTCCTTTTCTGCCTGGATCGCTGAATAATCTATCACCTCCTTCCTGTGCTGCTTCTTGCGCTTCCTCTTATCGTTATCGCCGCTGCCACTGCCCCCGGCCAAATTATTACCGGCGACTTGTCCCTTATCTTTCGCCGACGAAGTCTTCTTCCGTTTATTCTCCTGCACCGCAGCAGTCGGAGCTTCGGTCGGCCTTTTTCGCGCGAAATCATCCACCTGGCCGGTAGATAATCTTTTCGTTTGTTGAATTTGTTGTTTCTTCTTCGTTATGACATCCTTTAAATAGAAATTAAAAATTTAATTAAAAATGTTAAACTTGATATATGACATTCTAATATAATATATAATGTAATATCTTCCTTATGTGAATTGACTTACTTTATTGAACTTGTCAGTGTGGCCACCTTCTTTATGTTTACGATGACGCCTTTTTTCTCTGACCTTTCGACTAAGAGGAAGCTTGGCGCGCACTGCTGGCGGATGCACCGTCACTCCTTCCGCACCCTCCGGCGGAAGTCGCACCGTTTCCGTTGTAGAACTGTGGATTATCGTGACAGACTTCAACTTCAAGTCTGGTCGCTTGCCCAGTAATCTCATGCTGGCCACCTAGAGACAGAGAAATAGTTTGTAAATAAATTTCAATTTACTATTTTTATTTCTTAATTAATTAGTACAAGAATTTAAGAATATACAGGAATACTGGAGATACTATTGCACAAATACATGTATACATCTTTATATAGTGACATATTTATTTTACAAAGTAACAAAAAATCGATACATAATTTACTTTCAAATTTATTATTTCATTTAATAAATAATTAAAGATTACACTTTCTAGCAGCTATAGGGAATTTTTGCTTCTATGTGACATTTCAATTATTTACATATATCTCAGAAATAAACTGCAAATAATACATTATAATGTGAAATAATAAAACAATAATTAATTCCATCTAATAATTATTTTACAGTAAATATTATAGAACTAAAGTATATACAAATAGTTTACTTTGACATATCCCTACACTTACTCTCGTCACTTTTCATTCTGTTCCGTAACCGTTTCTGACAATAAATAATTCAATCAAATTCATTGTTAATTAAAAATAATGAATCAAAATTAGGAAACTTTGAAATTTAATTTTGGCAATAAATAATAATTATCAGTTCAAGAGAAAATATAGATGTACTATAAATACACGTACCAATAATGATATCGCTGCTAAAATGATCAGAGCGGCGGCATACCAATGTTCGGCGACCCACCGTCTGAAAGTGGCGAGGCTCTCATCGGATAACAAAAGTTTCCTTAAAGTTGCTAATGGGCCACTTGGATCGACCTAATAAAAAATATTTTATTTAACACCAATTGTGTATCTCTATTTCTACTTCATTTTTTTTTTTCATTCTATTTACCTCGCGACATTTTTGAAAGACATCACAGTAGCCGTTGTAATCGTTACACGGAGTTCCCGGTTTTGAGTGCATGTTGGGAATATCATACGGCGGGGAGTTCAAGACGAAAGAAGATCTGTAAAAAAAAATTTATAGACGATTAAATCGATCTGTTGATTTATTGAAGAAAATTTTGATTCAAATCCCAAACTACAAAATAATGCGAAACAACATACAAGCATTGATTTTCGCCAGGAACTCGACAACAGAGCTCGCAAGCCTTCGTCGGCGGATCGTTCGGACCTGGTATGCATTGGCAAGATTCCAATCCGTACGCCAAGCATATGCTGCCAGTGCATTCCTTATTATAAAGAAAAATTGTTTGCGTGTAAGATAAATATATCGTATATTTAATAAATAAAACATCTTCTATGTTCTTAAAAAAATTAATTAATATTTACCCCCATAAAGCAAACCAATTCACGATTGCAAATGGTTTTATTGGGCTTGTTAATGGACGGTGGACAATACGGAGAACGACCGTCGCAGAAACTCGCATCGCGGCAGCCATTGTCGTCCCTGCACTTGTCTCCGAAACGGAGATTACACTCGACGGTACAGCACGGACCCTGAAATGGGGGAAGGCAAACAGAGCCGTCGAAATTACATCATGTCGTGCGTGCAGTGCGCCGTATAATCATATTATGCATATCGGTGAATAAATCGCCTAAGGCAAATTTTGCAGAATATCGCTTGAATTAATTCTTTTTGTTTTGCATTTAAACAATTAAATATTTATACACTCTTTTGTCAATTTTTTTAAATAGATAATTGACTGAAATAAACATTGAAGAATTTGTACACTTGCATATTTGATATTTAATATTTAAGAAATTGAAAAGATAGAAACGCGCGACTAGAGTATCTTCGAGTTAAATTTTAAGAAAGAAAAGTTATCCTAAAATTCCCTCGACAATACAATCCAGCTCAAGTTCCATTTTTTCTTGCAAGCCTCATACATACTTGACTAGGACTGCATACGGAGCCTGGTTGGAGCGTGCACGGAGTCTGGTTGGCCGATGGATAACGGCGTTGCGGATGGCAACACGAGTCCCGACAATCCTCTTCCCAGCCGCAGTCGCACTCCTCGCCTTCCTCCACCACGCCGTTACCACACAGCGATATTTGCGGTTCTACGATAAACAATGCAAGCGCCGTCAAGTTATATGGAACAACACAGAATACAGAATAATTGGAGAAGAGCAGATGCGGAGCGTTCGATCAACGTTCGTTTCGTTGCAACGTTAACGATACATCGCGTTGTTCTTCATCTATAAAACTCACCGGTAAAGCATCCCTTCAGCGAGCGTGCCTTGCTGTTGAGCACGGGATTTATGGCGTTCAGGCTGCACGGGCTGAAGCGATTGTTGTTACGCTTGTCACCGCTGGTAGCACGGGCGAACATTATAAAGTTGCCATCCTCGCCGCCCGGTGTACATTGTTCCGGATCGTGCTGGATGCAAAAAGAACAATAAAACATGTGCAGCGCGTTTTGCTCGCGTGTTGTATATTGATGGAATAACATCGCGTATATACATATAATATCTAGCGGAATGTGGAACGTGTGGCGTTTGAAATGCGATTGACGGAAGTGTATATATTACGTACCGGCGAGCCGAAGTTGTGGCCGATCTCGTGAGCCAAAGTAACGTGAGAGACCGCAGGCGGTACGTGCTTCCCGTAATTTAATAGGGTCACTATGCCGGTGTTGAGTGACTTCATGCTGCCGCGGTAATGCTGCAACGTTATTTCATTATCGATTATTTTTCGTTAAACGAACGTTCGGTCAACGACGACGATACGTCGCAATAATAATAATAGTAGTCGATCGAGAATCTAAAACATAAACGTCATCAATCATAGCGCTTTCAGTGGATTAACTAATAAGTCACATACACTACTTCAAATTTCATCGAATTAAATATTATATATATTTTTAGGTTTTTTACAAAATTAATTATTCAATGTAACATATTAAGAATTTAATTTTATAAAAAACCCCAAATATATAGGATTTTGGTTTTCGGTAGAACTGACTGTTTTTTTCATATGCTGTAGACTTATGACTCAGTCAATTTTATCGGGATTCAATTTCATCTAAGATTTTATATATCAAAAACCCTATATTGTATCAAATTGAATCTTGGTAAGATCAACTGGTTTCCTCATATATTGTAGCTCATGATCTGCTGAATAAAAAATACTATAGGTATAACTAATTTATAGCCAGTCAAACACGAAAAACTCGGGCTCTGTGAGTTGTTTGACTTAATGTAACTCAGTAAGTTATCCAATATTTAGCTTTAATAACTTTAGTAACTCATAAGCTACAACATATAAACAATCAACCAATTCTACCAAAAGCCAAAATCTTATGTATTTGATGCAGGATCCTTTATCGATAAATAAAATAATCATGTTTTAGTTGATAAAAAAATCATCACCGATCATCTTCATCCTTTTTTGCCTGCACTTACCCCGTTCTTTTCACATACACCGCCAGCATTCTTCAGATCGCCCGTCCACGCCAATCCCAGGGTTCCCATTTCAAAGTCCCGATACGTGAACATGTAAGCCAGGCAGAACGCGTCATAATCCTCTTCTATAACGAAGCAAACGTCGAAGCGTTATCAGTTCAATCGGTTTTCCTTCGTTCGAACATATCGACATTGTGTCACACATTGAATTTTAACATGAACAATAATTGTCTTCATACCTGAGAAGAGCTCTAAATATTTCTCCACACCGTAATTGCCCGGGAAACGATAATTAGCATCTTTCAGCGCGTCCTCGCTGTGCACTTTGACACGTTTTATCATGAAGCTGATGTTATCCGGCTGTCCGTCTTGATCGAAGTCTGAAAAAGAAACATGTCACTGTTTGCAAAAACACCGTTATTTCTTATAAACTACACGTATTCATCACGGAACTGAATAATAATTCACTTAAACTCGCGTATTATTCTACTCTCGTTTCTTGCTCTTCACGTTCACGACTCCCATGTGATTACCGTTCTCTGATCCAAACAGAGTAATTTACGTATAATGCAGAACTCAGTGTGTTATACGTAATAGAACAGTATAATAATGAAAATACCATATGTAGAGAAACAAACAGGGAAGTATATATTTTGCAGAGATGTCATAGATGACATGTGTAATAGAGAAGAATAATTTATTAAAATATTTTAAGTATACATGTTAATTTCAATATTGTAAAGAGCTAGAAAAATATGCTTTTAATTGTAATTTCTTTGTATTTAACAATAAATAAAAAAGTCTCCTCCCTTATTATATATTATTATTATTGTTCTTATTATTATTATTATTAACATTAATCAAAATGTTTTATTTTACGCAACAAATGTATTCATTCATAAATATGTATGCTCAATATTTAAAAAACTTTAAGAAACTGAGAGACTTAAACATATCGGAGACGCAGGAAAAATTGCATTTTATATTTTACAGCAAACGTTTTATAAGCACAATTCTATTTTTAAGATTACCCACACATTTGCATCAGAGATTAAAATTTATCTTATATCAACCAACTTTTCAAATTAGATTTGATACTCTTGCAGTGATTATTTTTAGGTGACATATTAAACCGTTATATTACATATAATATACGAACATTCTCTGTTTTCCTTTGTTTATTCTGATTAATTATGCATCTTTTTCGTAAACTAAAGTTTCAACTATAGTTTCATCGTTTTTAGCAATGTACTAAAGTATTAACATATTAAAGCTGAATATAAACAAGAAAAAAATAAAAAGTTTGCCTCGTATACTAATATATGTACAATAAATCCTGCTTAGTAATATATAATGTTTAATTATGCAATGTTAAAACATTAATATATAAATGCAGATTTAAATATCAATAATTAAAAATTGAATAAATAATTCATTTTCTTATGATTATTAATCATGCAACAAAAATTTAAAATTTCAGAAAATTTCCGTATAGTTTTCCGGCACATTTCTCGAGAATGTCTTAAAATTTTCTCGCTTTTTCTTCTTAATATACGCTGGCTACTAAATTAAATTCTTCTGGCGTTTTTCGTATTCCTCGACAGTTTTCAATTTTCCTGGACTTTTTGGACCGGCGTTAAATCATTTTTCTCCAGACGATATATTACTATGAAGAAAAACACTCACCCGTATGTTTGTAGATGGAGTTGACTCTTTGCACGTGCCTCGTCATCACCTCAATACAGGCTTCCTCCGTGCCGTATCGCGCGAAAAACTGATGGTCCGCTTGCAAGTAGAGCATGCAGGTAGTTTTCCGAGGATTTATCGCGCGCTTGTGCAGATGCCTCGCGATCCGATCTCTGTTCCTCGCACTATGAGGAGAGAAGGTCGCTTTTATAGCGCGATGAAAAACGCCATGCTTTTCTCACATCTGAGTTCCTAACTCCGAGCGTCCGCGCTTGTCCGAATTCTATTTTAACTTTGCGATGTTCAATTCCGACTGTGCGACTTTCGTTACCCGGTACCTCACTAATATTCAATTGATCCGGAATAAAATTGACCATAGAATTTCGCATAATGTAAAATGAAAATTGTTGGGCTCTTTCCACGTTTTTTTAATAATTAAATCAATCATTAAAAAAAACTTGTAAGTTATAAGTTGTATTCGAGAACAATAAGAAGAAATATCTATGTTATATATTTATATTTTTTAATTTATCGGCATTGTGCATTTCTATTTTTTTGTATTTTTTTTATATTTTTATAATTTTTTATACTTTTTGATATTTTTCTTATACGATAAAAGGTATACTGTTTATGTATATCTCGTATTAACAAAATATTAGATGATATATTTAATATTAATTATAGAATAATGTATAAAATAATAAATGTATAAAAAATTAAACAAAAAATTAGAGTCTTGGTTAAATAAAAAAATTAAATATAATAAAAACATCATTTACCAAATATTAATTGTGAGAAGCACGTATACTTTTTTAGAATATTCCGTCATAAATATAGTTTTCGTTATTAATAACATATTATTAACGTACTAAAATCAGAGGAAAGATTCGGCTATTTTTTATTAAAAAATACAAATACTCACGCATCTATGTAATCTTCGTTATTCGTTTCCAATGTTACTTTCGCGTTGTTTTCCCTCGAGTACAGAGCAACGTGTTCGCCGAGTAAGGGCTCGTAGAATGCCTGAGAGTTGTTGTACCTATATCCGAAGAAACAGACAACGTACATCGTGAAGTTTAAATTTACATTTAAAGTTTGCTATATGAAGACTGACATAGAACGCGCATAATATATGATAATCCTAGCCGGCGGGAATTTTCTTACACGTGTCTAAATTATAGCACATTTGCCAACAATATACGCTCTTTTGTCATTTCCCTCTGTGCGAATACATTTTCATGAAATAGAACGGCAAAAGGTACGCAAAATAAAACATCGTAATAAAAAATGTACTTATTAAATCTTTATTTGATTTTAATTATATAAAAATAAGTATATGATAAAATCTGTAAAAAAATTTTCGAGAAATTATTTTACTATTATTTCAATTCATAAGATCGTAATCAAAGTCTTTCATTGATTGTTAATGTACTGTTAAAAAATCGCTCGTAAAATATTAAAACATTTTTAAAACCAGAAATCACACGAACATATGTATGTCCATAACGTCTATCAAAAAGAAAATCAAAAATCGCGTCGTCATAATTCAAGAGAAATCTTCATAAAATAAAATCTAAGAAACTCCGTAAAACATCGTCTCATTTGATCTCCAAACTAGACGTAGCCGACCTGGTTTGACAAAAAAAAAAAAAAAATACGCTAAACGGAATGGCACGAAAATCACCTATGAATTTAAAATCCTGTATAATCTAAAAGGAGATTTACGTCGTCGGTCTACATTGATGATCGCCTGCTTACTATTCGAGAAAACGAGATAGACTCACCTATCGAAGGAATCACGAAGAGTTCCCTCTCGATGCAACTGATGACTGGCACACGATGTATGCGGCGGGATGGTAACATCGGAAGTACGATAAGCTATGCTGTGATAGGGCGGCGACGTGTCTTCATTTTTATTCAAATACCTGCTCGTCGGCTCGATGTAATACTCTTCGAATCTGGTCACGACGCTACCGTCGAATAGACCATCTTTCGTAACGACGCCCTGCACCATGGCGCTCTCGTCCTCTGTAAAGAGAAAAGAAAACGACGCCAGTCAATAAGAAGTAAGTAATCGAATTTATCGGGGGAAAAAGAATTTCCACCATCCATTATTCAATAGTGACAATTTTCAATATTTTTATAGAAAAAGGAACAAATCAATCCAAATATGCGTAATCATTAATTTGTAATAAATATTGATCTTTATTGTTTCAAACAATATTAGCAAAATTCGTAAAAGTTAAATTTTCTTTTTTACATATAATATATATTTAGTATCCCTTTTATACATATCGTAAATATACAGTTAATATTTGTTTCATTACTTGTATAAGAGATATATAGATCATGATGCGAGTGGACTTTTTTTATATTCAAAACACTTCTTCATGGCGATCCGTCTTATTTTAATAACGCTCGCAAAAACCGCTAAATTCATTATTAATAGTTTTTGCAAAGAGGCGGATTCGCGCTGAATGTATATGCGATGTAACCCCGAGCTACCTTTTAAAATCTGCGAAAACACGAGGGCGAACCGCGGTTGCAGGAGACTCGTTCCCACGGTGCATATAAAGTTACCGCCGGGGTAATTATATTTGTAGAAGCCTTTATTCCGTGTCGCCGTGCTTTCATTATTTCTTATGAATTTTTTGCGACTTTGCCAAAGTTAGACAAGGCGCGCAAGACGGAAAAGAAAGAGAGAGAGAGACGCTTGTGTAGTAACTTTTCGAACGGAATTAGAATGGATTGCCAGGTATTTAAGATACGGTGACGAGCCATAACTTCATTTCGCTTTGCGCAATTTCATCTCCATCGGAGCAGCTCGGTTTCCTTAACGAAACGACAGATTTCCGTGAAAATTTCTAGAAATCGAAGTTTGCTGTCGCAGCTATGAGTAAGAAACTTCTTCTACTTGCTTCATTGTGATTGTTAAGCCACGTTCAAATTTTATGTAATTTGAACTACAAAATTAAACACACATTTATTGATAAATAATTCTTTCCTCAGTAAAATAATACTTATAAATAATTAATTTCCGATAAATAAAATAGTGCTCGATGTGCTAAATTTATTGGATTTTTAATAGATTAATTTTAGATAAGAAATTTAAATATGTTCAGTTTTTAAACAATAGCTATGAGTACCCAAATATATTCTATTCTGTTTTCGAGACAGACTGAATCGATGCTGAGATTGTCGTTCAATATGCATACTTTCCTTCCAGTATATTATTGTAAAGACATTGCAGATTGAAAGAGAGAAAAAAGGAGACACACTGAGAAACTTGAATGTAGAAAATCACGATCTCTGAGAATCGCCGCCTCGAAGCGAGTTTGTTTGAGTAAAACACGGGTGGATTCCAGAAATTCCAATCGTCAATCATAGGCGATATTCCGGACTATTACTAGAGAGAAGATAAATCGACTAAAGTGCTATCGCGAAGTCGGAGAAATTTACGGCCGCATGTTACTTCCTACAAGTAATTGTTTGGATCCCTTTGGTTGCTGGCGCCAAGTCGATCCGTAAATTCACCCCTCATAGTAATCGATATACTCTATCTTTTCTGATAAAAGAGACAATCGCGAAAGAGATTTTTATATCGTAATATAATTTGAGTCTTAGCTACATCAAAAGAAAACAATTTACGCTCGGATAAAAACTGCGCGTGAAATAAAATGAAAAAACTAATTATATTACCCTGTTTGTCAATTATGTTATAATAAATAAATTATAGTTCTCAAAAAATGGAGACATTAAGTAAAATCTCAAATTCTCATAATTTTAATTTAGATTAAAAATAAAAATGATACGTAAATATATAAATTTAACAAGTAACATATAAATTTAAATATTAAGTAGCGATATTAAATCGAATATTTTATGAAATAATTATTAAAACATATTTGATTTGAAAATTAAAATAAGCAATATCATATATCGATGTATTATAAGATATTATTTTAATTGATTTCTAGAAGATTAAAACATTTCTAGAAGATTAAACCAGACTCATTGTAGTCACTTGAATAAATATTAAAATTTTAAATATTTAAATATAACTGTAATATAAAATTCATTTTCGTGTAAATTTGAAACTGAAAGAACCCAGATGACAATGAGAATTAATATCCAGATTTTTTTTTGTGTGTGTGTACATGTAAATCGCTTTTAAAATATTCCAGATTCTTTTTATATTCTTTGCATTTCTTTCTATAATATTCTTTTCGTATTCTATAATGAAATTTTTGGCGGAACTTTAATTTGCGGTATCATTTTTTTCACAGTTCTTTAACATACTCTTTATATATTTCTATATATAAATATATATCACGCAAAATTTCATTAAACTATCACATAAACTGAAATAAGGTATGAAAATTTTTGTTATTTATATTTGCATTCAGCAATCTAAAAAAAGATCACAAGTTTCAACACTTTCAAACTGCTTACGAAATTCTTGATTAAAATGTACCAAGCAATTTTGAAATATACCGAGGATATTTGCTCCTTTCAAACTGCGAGAACGTCGTCAATTAGAACTTCGGAAGGAAAGAAATGCGCGATATCGAGATGCCTAGCGAATTTCAGATAAAATTCCGTGGTCAATTTTTCTATTAAAAAAAAAGAAAGAGAAATATCTTTTTTCTCTCTCTCTCTCTTTCTATGGAATTTCCGCGACTAATTCGATCCCATTTCTCGCGATAGCGTAAACGTGAACGGCGATTCCCCGCGGACGAGTTGAACCGTAATCGATGTGGCGACGGCATCTCTTTCTCTCTCGATGGGAGATTGCCGATGAAAAGTAGACCTCCCGCGAGAGGCTCAATAGCGGAGAGAGTAGAGTTTGGACGGAAGATGTGAAAGGGAAGAAAAAGTAAACGCGTAGAAAACATGGAGGGGAAACTAGGCTACCCTCGGATTAAATTCGAACGTCCTGACTTTGACATAGGTCGAGGTCAGATCTTATTCTGACCTGTGCAAATATAACTATTGTGATAACAAATTATATAACCGATATATATCGCATATTTCTCAAGCAATAATTAATGTAGCTCGCAAAAAAATATATTAAAATATTTGAAGTAATTTTTTTAATAAAAGTATTATTTAACGCTGCAAGATGTATATAATTGTATGCGCTTCGTCGATTTGGATATTTCAAAATATATAAAAAATAGATACAAAGTTTCGCTCGTACATTGAAAAACAAAAAGTGATCAATGCAAGGCCAACTATCGAGCAATTATTCAAACTGTTCAATCAAATAACATTTATTTCATATATAAATTATTAATAATGAAAATACTTATTTAGTCAGCTCTTTTAATTTTTAATGATGACACAAGACAGAACCAACAATATAAAAAGACAGCTCATTTTGAACTCTTTTTGCGTTAATTTTAATATTCAATGATTGTAACTTAATAATTTATATATGAAATAAATGTTATTTGATTGAACAGCTTGAATAATTGCTCGATAGTTGGCCTTACATTGATCACTTTTTATATAAAAAATGTTTTATGCTTCATTTTTCACTGCTCTTGACGTAGCAATAATTATTTTATTAATGAAATATTTAATTACAGTTCAACCATGCATTTTATTGTCAAATAAATAATTTATTATATGTATATATCATTTTTAAAAAAGTGAGTGAAAAAAGTGAATCAACAATTTACAAGCAATAGTCTAGCATCCGCGCTTTTAATAGCATTTCATCTGGGCTTTTTTCACGTTTGAGAGCTCAAAGAGAAGAACGCAGCTTAATCTCTAGCGAACGAGCATGAGAGTTCACGCAAGTGAGAGAAGTAAACGGAAGGAAATTCTTTTACCAAAAAAGACAGATGAAGATAAACAGAGAAAACGCGATCATTAAATGGTAATTAACAAATACATTAGGAAAATACTAATTACACCCAGGACGATCGTATCAACGTGGCATTAAAGCGAGGAATAAAATCAACGAACATCAAGGGTGAAAAGAAACAGGTAGAAAGAATCTGGAAACCTTTTGCATTGAGGTAGAAAGAATGTTTTTCTTCGATGACGGAGGACCGAGAAAGATGAAGATAAACAAAATATAGTGTAATTAGGTGATAATTAATAAATATCTTAAAAAAGCACTGATTATATGTACAAGATAAAACTTATAAATGATTAAAAACGAGCAAGAATGTAAAAAAAAGTATGAGAAAAAAATTAAAAGAATTTATTTCTTTTATGAAGAAGAAAAAAGAAATAATGTTTGATATAATCGTATGATAATTATTAAATTTATAAAAAATATATACATTGATAATAACCGTATAAGAACCGTACTATGTAGCGTATATCTTAAATTATGCGGCAATAATAGAAAGGATAGAAAGAAATCATAAAGAATAAAAGGAATATGGTAATTTTGGAAAGAGCACACTACATTATTTCTTTCCTATAATAATTTCTTTCCCGTCAAGAACGAACAAGAAGATAAATGCAAGGAACGTGGAAATTAATGAACATATTAGGGAGAATTGCGATTACAAAGCGAAAAATATGAATGCTGAAGCAGGCATATGAAGCGGGAGTCATATAAGGGTAGAAAACAACATGAGCGAATGAAGAATGAACAAAAGTACGGGGATTACAAAAACTGTCCGCGTATGACCGCCAGCAGTGTACCCTTTTGATAGCTTTTGGCCGGAACCACTAGACTGCCGGCTGCTCGAGAGGGAAAAAAACAGAAAGGAAGAATCTGCGTCCTGCGGCTTAATCGAGTCTCATCCCGACGCGACAGTTTGGACAGGCGTAAAGCGGATAAAGTAGATCGCGCACGTCAACCGGGGAAAATAAAGAAAAATTGATACAAAAATATATAGGACACGCGTTAGACCGCGAGATATGCGGAAATAAATAGAGAAAAAGTAAAGTACGATGAAACGCGGGCACATGAAACTTTTGATTGTCACTTCGTTGCAAGCATCGCGAAATTTTACATCAAAATTTATAATTACTAAAATACAGCACTACACGCGCGCTATTCT